CTCGCCATCATTCCTTAAAGACAAGAAAATGGGTGTGATATGTATTTAAGGTGTAACAATGGACATGCGCACCACAATTAGCTGACAAAGTACCTAAGAATATCAAGTTTTCAAATATTTCGATCAACATCAAAACGACATCTCCTTAGGAAAATAGGTGGACTCATTCTCGAAAGAGGCGGATTTGCAATTTTATGAATCAAAATTCTTTGGAGTAAGAGACGTACCCTTTCAACACTATTTCGAGGAGGCACTCATAGCTTGTCCACTCGGAAAAAATCGACTCCGTATTAAAAATGCCACAAGTCGTAAAAACAAACAAGCTCTGAAAATGCATTAAAAATCCACACAAGCATTACGAGCAAACCACGATAAATAGATTTCTCCCTCACTTTCGTGCGACTGGATAAGACACAACAGACCGCATTTTAACAAATCAAAATGACAGTTCTGACACACGAAAAGTGCTCAAATGTTGACCCAACAATGCGAGCAAAGCACTTGGCATTGGACATCAACATTTTTTGCCACCAGATATTACGAAGTAGAGTTTGCTTTGAAAAGAAGTATTAAAGTTAAACAGGTTAAAAATCGCAAAAAATGCCCACAAGGTCTTCCGAAAATGCCCTCCGACGGTACGAATAAAGCGCCCAGCCCTGAGCGGATCGGAATACTTAACATGAAAAGACGATACAAACATGTGCGGCATCAGCGACCGACGGACAAAGCAAAGGCATCACCCTCCTCCCTCCCCCTTAACCTAAACAGCCACGTACTCTCGTTATCGGGAAAGGCGACATCATAGCCGGGCAGAGGTAGGACCACCTGATATATGAGAGGCCGCTCCCCACACTCTGTGACACGCGAGGGGGCTGCGGGGGTGACGGGGGTTTTGGGCATCCGTAACTCCGTCCCTCCTACTCCCACTCCCGCCGTCCCATCCACATCACATTCCTCACCCGCCGCCTCTGCGACAGGTACTGTCGCGGAGGACTGGTCGAAGGACTCGTCATAGCACATCTCGGAGGAGGAGTCTACTGAACGGAGGCCTGGTAAGAGAAAGGAAAGTATAATCTTCGGCATATGATAATTTAATACGAAATCGGAAATTGTACACAATTTCTCGCTTCAGTTTGTTAAAAACTAAATGTCTAATTCCAAGTTAATGAAACAGAAAGATAGTTGTTTTAGCTATGATTTACTCGGTCCACGAATTTTTGCCATCACATTTCTGCTAACAGTCCGCCAATCCTTCTATAGGCTCTAACCTCTTCAAAGAGAACTTGGGGTATTACAATAGTGATTAGAGTAAGTGAACGCGACTCGAACGAACAAGAATGTAATCTTGACTTCAATGGTGGGCTAATAAGTCTAGAGGTTACGAAGAGAAGGCGCCCACAATAGAGAACTCAAACGGCACAATATAAATGCCAATCCTGCTCCTTCTACGTTTACTTCAAGTGTATACCGCTCAGGTGGATTTGACACCACATTGAATGCCACTGAATCCAATGCTTCTGCTAAAGTTGTCCATTACTATGGACCCTGATCTGAGCCCAGGTCTTTTACGCAGATGGATCAGCTAAAAAGAAATTTCCAAAAATCTTAATTTCACTAAGCGTCAAGAGAGTACTTCGCTAACGTTTTCAGAATGCGTTGCATCTACCCATTCACCTATCAGGATTCATAAAAAAATAGTCGGAAGATTATCAAAACCCGAGACACATTATAACAGTGTCCAACTTCAGTTGACTTTTAAAGAAGGGAATTTCAGACGCAACAACGCAACCAAGTGGCAAGAGACTCAAACTCCCCATGAGACTTACAAAGTCGAACTAACTGACGGGAGATACAGTAGCTAGTTAAATTCGGGAGCCAGGACTAAATTCGGTGTATTTATATAACATGAGATAATGGTTAAGAGACAAATTTTGAGCGGATACGGGATTAAAAGTCTACCGAAAGAATTCGTGACAATATTTCGAGTTCCAGTGAAACAAAAACACCATACAGTAGCCTAAAAAATCACGAAGGTACTCCAAGTAACCGCAACTGACTAAATATAAAATTTGAACGGAAGGCAGGAAAACGTCTACCCAACGTGAGGTTGTTATATCACTTTGGGGTTTTCTGTGCCCTTCAAGAACCACACGGCAGTCAAGAGGATACTTAAACAACGCATTTCACACCGAAATGGTGGTAAGTACCTTTTGAGATCGACGGGCAGCTAGCGAAGTAGAGGTCGCCTACAAGAGCCTTGTCACCCTCATCAACACCTAGCTCCTGAATGCGACGACTTGCGATCTTGTTCCACACCAGGCTCTGGTAGCTATGCGCATACAGCTGGCGCAGATTCCGAGGCAGCTAGAAAAGGAGAAATACCTAGCATGAGCTCCTTTGTCGTAGATATCACCTCGTACAAAAGAATTTAGAGTAGATAAACTCAGAGGGATGCGTCTTACCAAATGACCTATTCTATAGTAATTTCAAATAGTTGATTCATGCACTTAAACAAAACCATCATTACCTCATTCTTAAGGTGATATAAGAAGCAATGAATGACTTAAACTCCCTGCAAGGCAAGGCTTACCGTGTTCGTTGCCAGGGTCACAGAGGACAACAGAATACCACAGCTCAAGCATTTTGTCATTAATCTTTACATCATCAAATCAACAGCCGCCACACAAAAAATGCAAGATGTAGTTGGTCTCGAAACGGGAACGTCCTTTACCTACTTGATCATTCTAAGCTCAACCAGTGTTTGTGATGATAAAATGCAGTCGGTTACCACAAGCAAGTAAAGAAAACGTGCCACGAACTTTATGACGCTGGGTTCAGATAAGGGAATCAAGGCATCACAGGTGTGACACTGGCAACGAACGTAGTAATGACTACAAAAGCGGTAACCTAGTATCTAACTTTGAGGAATCACGAGTCAAACAGGATGCGAGTGAGTGCGCAGGAACTTTTGAATGTGGTACCAAGTCTAAACAACCCGGAAGACTTGAGCACATTTTAATGAATCACATAAGTTCTGATGATTCACATAAAAAAGATGTTTAATCTGTTGAATAGGAGTCGGACGCACATTACATCCATTGTAGTTTTAAAATAATCGCCAAATCATTGACATTTACTTCAAGTTACAGCCCATCAAAGCTAGTTGATGAGAACAGAAATAGGTAATCATTGATGAAGATACGACAATCACCGGACTATGAATTGTGGGCCAAAATAAAACATAAAACGAACCGTTTGCAATGCAGCAAGTGTTTTTCCATGACGGGCGATGCCGAAAAGTAGGGTCTTCTCAAGGCACTGGGGCATGTCATCGCCACAAGCTTTAGCGTCCTGGGTCCTCAGGTAACGCTCCTTTATTTGTCGGACGACAGGCAGGTCTAAAAATATCATGCAGTTCAGTGAAAATCTAAAAAATTTATCAGCTAAAATATGGGGGATTTCTTCCCTACTCTCACCTGAGCTAGTCGGAGTAAGGATAAGGTCAATAGCCTTCTCCCAATTGCATCTTATTATTTCTCTAAAAGTAAGAAACAAGTGTTCATTGAAAGGGGGTATTAAAATTGGAAGATTCGAAATTAAAAAGTTGCCTACTTTCCAATATCGTATGTTCTTGCCTCAGCACAGTGGCCAAATCTTTGCAAGCCAAAGTAATTGATAAATCCATGCTTTTGCCAATCCTGAATTGCTTTGTGCAAGACACCATCCTCAGCGACAACGTCTCTAAGAAAATAGGGTTAATTGGTCAACACCTGGATAATGAAATTCGACAACAAAAATAAAATAATGACTTACCGAATCACTACGGAAAACCTGTTGCCATAGAGCTCGCCAAGCTTAATAGAATCCGCAGAGTAGGAGAAGTTCCCAAGTTTGATTCCGTTCAAACGTGGATTGAGCGTGGACAGACGTCGTGCTGAGATGCTAGATAAGTCACAAATTTCTAAGGCAAGATCTTACTTTTTAATAGAAACATTTTGAGTGGTGACAGCCCGCTTATCTTTTGTCCCAGCATAGTTAAAGGAGTTGGAATTAATTCTAATGCGTATGAATGAGAATCTTGATGTTACTTGAGCAGACGTCCAACTATGTGAAGTGCTTGCATAGTGTCTTTGCCCTCCTTATAAAGGACAAAATGACAAAATGGTGTTTTCTTTGGCGGATCATTTGACTTTGGGGTACGTTCCCATGCTTTCTTGCCTAAAATTTTGAAATTAGATGTTTGAATGAGAAGAACCTTTGACAAGGCTGCCACGAGTGACGAGTATGTACCGATTATTATCCACTTCCACCGTTTTGCTGACAAGAGATGGGTAATTGAGACGAATAGCCTTATGAAACATTTCGCGTTCATTTTTATCCTCAGAAGCCTAAATATCAGTAAGCATAACTTGAGGGAGTACCGGAAACGAGGCTTCAAACATGGTCTCACGGTCAATTTCTTTGAGTATTTCATCAATTTCTATAGGGATGATATAACTTGAAGATGGATCTGCAGCAGACTGCAGAAAATAAGACTAAACAAATTCTCACAGAAACATCACTGCTAGTGTTCTTTGGTACGAGAGATGACAGTCTGCATATTTTGCCAGAGAGGTCAACCTCCCGAACAAGAAAGTCCTCCCATCTGGCAACGTTGCCACTCAAATCTTACGACATACCTGCCCTTCATAGTACCCTGGAAACCAGCATTCTTCACGCACATAAACACCGTTATCCCTACATCCGTCTCCGAAAGAATGTTTTGGAGTGGATCGGGAATCTCATCAAGCTTTTTTCGTTTTGACAGTGGAGACGAAGCCCGCTCCTCAACAGTCGGCATTCTGTACAGCACGTGATTTCAAAACGTCAGAATACTTAGGAGTGCATATAAACGATTAATATAATTCGCTTATAAAGGTATAGAACCTAATGTCAAAGTTAGAATTGCTGTTTCGTAATTAAAGGCGTAAAGTAGCATTACAAGGTTAAGTATAATGGTAAATTATTTATTGCCGCTGATTGTGTTATTCCACTTTTCTTAATTTCCAGTACCATACCCTTAAAAAAATCAAATCTGTATTTTAACTGGTTTTTGTGTTTACGGCAGCACAAGAGGGGCATCCTGCTAACCTTCGGTACCCAATGAAACTTGATGAGAACTCTTATCCTCCGAGATGTTAACCTGATTTTACAAATCGCATTTAGGAGATTTAAATGAATATGAGTAAAGACAGTTACCTTAATGAAAGCTTACGACTCATCTGTCTGTAACTTAGTGTAAAGTATTCTGTTACGCAGGATTAACTCCCTGCGATGGGCATAATCAACCTTTACGTTGCTTTTGTATTCCGGCTGCTAGGTCAGCACCACACAACTTCAAAAAACATCTCGTACCACCCATCACCACACACTACCCAACAGCCAACATCACGATTTCCATTCTAACACTCAGCGGCGCCAAACCACCTCACTAATCGTCACCCACCACTCACAAGACTATAACCCAACAACCCCACTTTCTCCGATACAAAGAAATACAGTCAACGAATCTGATCGCCTCAACTCCCTTAATTTATCTACCGCCTTCCACACGTGATGAAAAACCCCAATGCGCAATGGGTAGGCTTCTACTTCTCAAATCAGAAAATCGCGGAAAGAATACCAACAAAGAGGAACTGTTTCAGCACAGTGACGCACACACCACAAAGTCAGGCCAGAGTAAAGGGGAGGCGATGAGGAGGAGGAAAGAAAGAAGGGCACTCGATCGGGTGGATCCCCGCCTCGTCCTATGCCTCTCTGCCGAGTCGAGTGAGCTAAAGTACATGAGGGTGAGATGGGAAATTGGTTGCAATGTGAGCAAATAAGTTCTCATTAATGGCACAAGACAAATTGTGATCACTTTATTAAAACACACTAGGTGTAACTCAGCCGATAGAGCTAAAACCTAGAAGGACAAGCAAATAAACCATTTTTGGGAACTGATAACGTATGAAAGGGTCCATAAATAATAATCCAAACTGGTCATTTTGTAGGAGAGAATCAGTCGGAGTAGCCTAAATCGCTCATCTTTGTAAGCTACGCCTTGACAAAGACGAGTCGGAAATTGCCAACCAACAGCAACTTAATCATCCAAAGAGTTAAAATGCACTAGAATGTGCAACAAAACAATTAGCACGGAGAAGTTGACAAAGCACCATTTTTTCCACCTCGAATACCGACGAAGCTGAGAAGGGGGCAAGAATAGCCAAGACCACCAACGCAGGGGGCCATAAATAGCAGCCGCTAGCCCATCGACTGCAAAGATTGGGAAAGAGTGAGGGGAGGTGCTACCCTTAGTATTAGCAACAAAGCGGGAGTCTTCGGCGCTCTTCGATCCGGTCTCCACGACAGGGGTATGAAGCTGCGCTCCTGTCACCCATGCCACCAAGCACCAAGCTCTTCTGCAAGAGCAATTGTTACTGCATCAACCGCCAGCAATGACCCTAATCCTAATGTCCGCATTATGACCAGATACAAACGACAAAAAATCACCCTAAAGGGAGAGGACTTCCTCACTCTAAAAGAGGCTGGCTATAATCCAAAAGCAGGCAAGTAGCTTTAAACTGAGCCGATAGCGTAAAGAGAACCTGACTCCAGGATAATTTAGCAGTTAGACGTTATTCATCAACTCAGGCTCTTCAGTTGCCGCAGGTTGTACCTTCGGCCATGCTTAAAGCCTTCTTTTACAGTAGTTTGGGCTATTACAACCCCAGAAAATAATGGAAACGATATAGGCTTACTTTACACAATGCAATGTATTAAACGGGTTTTGCTTTCAATGTATGCGTCCCCGCGAGGATGTTGGGTTCATGAAGGATACTCACTGTGGAAATGTTAGCCCACTTTTGTTCGGCGACAAACGACTGAGGAAGCAAGCTTCATTAAACTTCACGAGAAACACCATTAACAGTAGCAATGGCAGGTTTGTTGCAATGGGATGCAGTGCCACGACCTTGTCTATCCCTTGGACGATTTCAGTCCACTGCAAAACTCCTGATAACTGGTGCAGAAGAGTGACCACAGGGAAAGCCGGGGACGAGGCCAAAAGGGGAGATTTATGCAGTGACTACATGCATACTCCCAATCTCCAGCGATTCGGTCCCTATGACGGTGGTATGGTGTTCTGCTTGTCACATGTGCCACTAGCCCTCGTCCTTCTGTGGGTTTACAAGAAAGCTACTTCTGGACAAATGTTCTCTACCTCAATCCATACCCACGACGATCCAATCGAGCAAGGCGATCCGCCAGTCGTTAAAGGGGGTGAAAAAAACATCTGGACTAAAATAAAAGCTTATTTGTTCATCTCAACCACCTATAGGTAGAAAAATCACTGAGGCACTTCAAATCAGAAAATGGAAAGATTAACACCGATAGCCCATTGTCGCAAGTAAAGGGGAATGATGTACATTAATCAAACACGTCACGAACGAGACGCAGAGATCTGCCCACACTATCAACCACTGCCTGTCTTCCAGTTCCACCGTATAATTATAAGACGGCTACATTCAATTTTCTACACCTTATAGCATCTTGAGGAATTCAAGAAATGCAATATGGTACAACGAATTGAAAATTACTGGTAACAAAAAACACGAGGTAAGGTAAACGAAATATACTGCCATTGGTCAACTGAGAGTCAAAAAAACAGTAAAAAGCTCTAAGTTTAAAAATTCTAAGAATCTAAATCACTTTTCAAGTACAAGTCATTTAGCTAACTTCCTCTCTATTGGGATTAGCGGCAATAAAAATGATATCGTCGTTCCCCTGTTCTTCACTGGAATAAAAATTAATGCAGCCTTTTGATATTACAGTGAAGAATGTGTTTTTAGACACCGACTAATGCAGCCTAATCCAATTCATTACATTCAAGGGTTTCAGGGCAATCACCCTATAGGCCAATTAGTCCCAATCAGCTCTTCAGGAAGGTGAAGGAAAGTAAGTACGAAGTGGCCAATCCTAAAATAGACGGGTTCCCAGTTATCTGACCAAGTTCTGAACACAGCGTACCTGATCGAGGAATAGCTTGGGAGTAAGAATCTCGGTGCCTCCGTAGGTGATCCGCCGAGTGGAGGCAGTGCCAGAGGCGGCGGCGGAGGCAGTGCCTGAGGTGGTCAAATCGACCAACGAGGTACCCGACCCGGAGAGCGAGAGACCAAGAGCGTTGAGGGAAGAGGAACTGCCGTGGGTGGCGCTCCCACCAAGTCCACCACCACCGCTCGCGCCACCGGGGGTGGTGCTAGAGCGAGACCACTGTAAGAGGTTGTGGTACTCCGTATAAGTCCCTCCGCCCACCACAAACACGTAGACGTCGTAGAAGGGCTGCTTAGCTCGGGGAACGCTTCTAAAAGGACAATTTACGGAGATCTCCTCATTAACTTACCAGTGAAGCATAAGTTTCCCGACTTGAATGGTAACAAGAGCAAAAATTTAGGGGATCATCCCGCATTGACGACTTGTTTCATTCGGCCATTATTTTGCCAATAAACCAGGGCTATTTTAACCCAGAAACAATATTTGTCCTTTGAGAGCAAACAGTTCATTTCACTGCTCGTTACAACTTGATGCAACAAGAAAGAGGGATGAATTAATAACATCATTGAATGCAATTTTGTTGTAGGTCCATCCAAATTGATCCAAAATCTCTGAGACCAGTAATGGCTATGAAAAATGTTCAAAAATCACCTATTTCTAGCATGCAGTAGAAGAACAATTTACTCACAAAAGGAATATGAGCTGAGTACGAAAGACATTATCCACATTAGTAGTAGCGCGCAAAATTATACCAAAAGGACTCAAGAAATGAAGCAAAAAATAAGTCGAATTTTTTTGCACTTACGTGGCTCCACCTCCACCTACGGCTCTCTTGTGTAGCTTAGGATCAAAGTAGCTATAGTCCTCCATGTCTCTCTTGTTTTCTACCAACTGTGAGACAATTTGCGTGAAGGGAAAGTACTACAAAGGGACAGATAAGAAGAAGGGGGATTAGTAGAGTTAATCAAGAAGCCAAGGAGAAAAGAGGTGGCTAGAACGCACGGATTTGCGGCCGGAGAGGACACGCATACCCTCCAGGAACATGGCAGAGCCGTGAGAGACAAGTTTGTTGAACATCGCTCGACCGGTGCTGCTTTTACCCGCCTCCGAGGCGGTGCCTGAGGTGCCTGCACCTGCCTGCGACAGTCGCGCTATTCGTCTGCAACAGACAAGAGGGCGTGATCATTCACTCGAATAAAGGAACTACGCTCTTCTCCATCTTTACCTCCATTGCATATGAAAGGTAGTAAAAGTGGTTTATTGGGACTACAGGCGTGAATCAAATTGGTCCCCACTCATTCCACCTCTTTTTAAACGGCCGAGTGATGATAGAAATACTCGTAAAACGTGCTTTATTTTCAAGAAAAAAATCATTTAATGAAGGGAGATTCGCCAACGGTCGTTTACGGGTCTCTCAGCCATTCAGTCATTCATTCGGTAACCGACTCATCTCCACTAATAAATAGAGCTCCAAAAATCATGCTTTTAAAACACACCTTCAAAGTAGCCCTATCAAATTAATCTCCAATTTTCTGATTAGTCAAATATTATTACCGAAGCTGGCGAAGTCTCCGTAGTATGAGAAGACCGCATCTGGTGCTCTCACTTCAACCTATAATTGGTCAAATGACTCCATCTAAAGGTTAAAAAGGCTATAATATGGGGACTTCAACCACTGTTTACTAGTCTCAATAACACGGTCATCCATTTTGGTGCGCAGACGAAAGGGGCTAATTTTTCATCCCTAGTTGCTACGATATAAAATACCCCTAGGTACAATGCAGTTTGGGGGCATACCTTTGACAACATTTTAAATGTCTCCGGTTCCTTGGCTGTTAGGGCCGGTCGAAGCCCCCAGGAATACGCTCCCTTTAAATTCCTCCTTCACATTTCGCGGTTAACGATCCTGTTTGGTTACACATAGTTGGACAATAATAAAATGGTGATGCACTTTATATGTGCTAGTACTCTCTCTCATCTTAAGGACATCCAAAGATCACAAATACGCTGGAGTTGGAGCACTTCCCGTACAATCCAGAGAGGCGCACAAACACTACGTCTCGAGTGTACTTCAACCTGCAGCATTTAGGATCTCCGTTTCCCCTACGTCTTACAGCCCCTTGGTTTTTCTGGTTAAGTAGAACATCAATTCCTAACATTGGCGCTCTAGGATAGCTTGCCATTATTTCTCCATCTCAAATATACGGTTGTGTTTCGGGGAGGAATTTCCTGAACCCGAGGATAAGTCAGTCAAACATCAGAACTCCAGTTCCGCCGATAACTCATGGTATAGTAGCACAAAATAGCTTCAAACTCGAGTGAATTGCTTGGCTGACAAGAATGCAATAAAAAACAAATCCATTTAAGGCATGAGTCAAGGGTCACCTGAGCTGATGAACATATCGAATGGCTGAGATGTCGAGATCGGGATTAGCAGCCTTGAGCTGTTCACCATATCGGTCGAGATCGCTACTGGAGAGGTTGAAGGCAATGGAGCTACTACCTGCGCCGACGCCACTACTACCTCCTCCGTTGGCACTACCACCGCCACCACCACCACTGGGGGAGCCGGCCGAAGCGGAGTTACAGGAGAGCGCAGCAATAAGGAGGAGACGTAATTTGTCCTCGCCGCTGAAGCACTCCATCTTTAGCAAATCTGGTAGCGAGTGCTCCTGGAAGATGTGGGATAGACAAATAGTTTCACTGTACAGCAGTTTTTTGCCTTTACCAGAATCGTAAGAGCAAGAAAGGGGGCGCTCTTTGTGCAGAGATTTTAGGGACAAACGAAATCGCACATACCTAAGGTAACACATGTGACCTTAGGAAATGGAGAAACACAGATGCGGACAGACAGACAGTGAGTCCTGGAGTAGATCAAGAATTGTGAGACAGAAATAAATGGTTCCTAACGATTTCAGTAAGGAGTGAAAGGGGGAATTTGGACGATTTGTGCCATAAGATGAAAAGGAAACACAGATTTGGTTGGGCTAGTGACTGAGCTAGCCGATGAATAAATGGCCAGATGTTAAGACAAGCGTGACAAGAGAGGAAAATGCCCTTCACAGAAAGCCTGTTGCTAGCATAAATTTGTGTTCAATCTGGCTGATGCTGGTGCCGTGCTGATTAGCACAAGTCCATCAGAACCAACAACTGGAACAAGGCGTATTTGGAATGAAGCGGTTGTACATGCAAGTAACAAGTGTAGCACATCAGGCGTATCAAACAACTAGTGCACAGAAACAACCGTAAGGTGTTGGATGAAATCGGTGTGCAATCACTCGAATCGACCATTAACAAACAATTACGAGGAACAGAAAGCGGGCTTTCAATTGATTTAAATAAGGCAAGCTTACGCAATTCTCACATGCAATTCGGGGATTGTAATAAGAAGGCTATACAACCCCAAAGTTTCCAATTCTTAAAAGCCTACTAGCATTATACTGTACTAGCCACGTAAGAAAAAAACATGCCTCTTATTAGCAAAACATACAACTCGACCTTTTTTGCGCCTATGAAATAGGAGTCTTTCGACGGTGAAACTTTCTCAAACCTACACAACAACTCAGTCTTGATCAGTTGTCTTCATTAAGTCGGGGGTACCGAATTTTTGTGTCAACTAAATCCAACAAAAATTGGTAGAATGAACAGGGGTGGGTAAGTAATTGGTACCATTTTTGATGAGAACGAAGGAAGCCAATCGCATTTCTTTAGGGAAGCACCAATAATTGTAATTTTACAATTATCTCAATTACTTAATGCAAGGGAGGTAATAACACATTTAGAATTCGAGAGATGTATTTCAAACTTGGAAGGGAGAGGGAGGGGCCGAAAAAGCCTCAAAACCCAGTCGCTACGCTAGTACTTTGCTAACACAGGCGGAGAAGCATCCACAACGTTTACGTGGCGCATCTACTAAAACCTCCTCAACGCGCTAACTAGTATGAATTGCAAGAAGGTAGATGGAATTCCGTGTGGAAGCACACTGGGTGAACAAAAAAATGATAAATCTCTTGTTACCTGGAGTGACTGCAGAGTGATAAGCTTTTCTTCCACATCATTCAAGAGATCCAACTGTCGATTCTTGATCTCCTTGGCTAAAGACGTCGCAATATGCATATGCATATCCACGCATCTTTTCTGCTCCATTAATTGGGGAAGAGTGCTACAACAGACGGGAAGGAGGGATGCTAATTTTGAGATCTCCCTTTAAATCTCCTAATCTCCAGGTTAACAAAGCAGGACTAACTTTATGGTGCTAGTGAGTGCAGAGGTGGCATCTGTGCTAACACCACTGACACCACCGTTAGTCGAGGAGGTCTGTCCCTCTGCAACTGAGGCTTTCAGAGCTCCCAGTTTCTTCTCCCGATCTTGCAAGACACCTAGCTCCTCCTGTAGCGCACCCGCCACATCGGAGAAGGGAGAAGCGCGATGAGTTCGCCAGATTCGGTCCGTCGACGTGGTGAGGTCGTAGCGTTTCATCTTCGCCTGCCGCACGTCATCTGCCTCGCCCAAGTTCTGCGTTCCCATCTCCACGTGATTGAGGTGTATGCCCTAGATGGATAATAAGTCAAGACCAAGAACGAGGCAGCATACCACAATATCGTGTAGAAGACTCTGATAGGTCCACGCGTGATGCAGAGGCGTGGCTAAATCCAACACCCGGTCGAGAATGATTAGCAGAGGACGCTGAAATGAGAAAGGATTGAGAGCAGCAGCACTGGCACCACCATTCTTGCCAGCCTCACTAAAGGCTCTATGTTCCATGCCAGAGAAAAGGGTGTTTCGGGAGTCCCGTAGGCTTTCACGAAAGCGATTGTCCAGGTCCTTGGCCACCGCCTCAGCTGCGTTGAAGCGCGAAGAGCGAATGATGGGAACAGTGCCGAGAGTGGCAAACACGGAATAGAGGCTGTCGACTATGAAACCGGTGGTTCTTAGAATGTCTTCCTCATTGCAGGAGGTCTTGTTCAGAGCTAGAAGAGAAAGGGGGGAATAAACCACCACTGCGCGGTTACCTACCATAGAAAGTTCCTTCCTGACTCGAAAGCTGCTCGTTAAGTACAAATAAGTCATCCTCCAGGCAAATGAACCTGGTGTACTGATCATAGACCTTCTTAATCCGCTGAATGCAGTCCTCCGTGAGTGCAGTTTCAGCTAGTAGTTCCAGATTCTCACGAGATATGGGACTTATAAAATTGAGGTAGTAAGACGAGTAGAGATCGGACTCGAAGTCCTAAATGAGTACTGGCTAAAGAGAGAAAGTAAAACCTACTTGACAAATACGAGTGATGTTCGCTTTTGAAGGATATACAAAATATACTGCAGGGACATCGGGAATGGGTTCACGTTTGATGTCAAGGAGCCTAGATTTAAAAGGCAGGTGAATAAGAAAGAGAGTTTACAGATGGAGAGTTACACCAACAGAGCGAAGTTCTTTCACTGAGAAAAGGGGTGCGATAATGTCCTGCCCAATCCGATCGTATATAAGAAGCTGAAAAATTGGCAGATATTACAAAAAATATACATCACTCACTTTCCACTGGGGCTCATCCTCTTTAGTGCTGGCTGTATTAAAATTCAGCATGCACTTCAATGCCTCTAATAAAAGTAATAAGGTAGATTAGAAGGAACTGCAGGAAATTAAAGCATTGACCTGAAAATTATCGGCAATGATTTAAAGCGTTATGAACAAAAATTACGATTTGGGTCCCATATACAATGAAGCACCTGAATATGATTAGAATTTGCAAATAACATCAAGTTAGAAAGAAAACGCATGGCAAACGAGCCGACTGAGCAAACGATAACTTGTCAATTTCACTCAAGTAATGACGGTGGTGCATGTAATTTCGAGATCGATAAGAGTCATTGTAGGATTTTAAACAACAAACTCGTAAAGTGCCTTAACCCCATAAAGCGGTGAATGATGAAACTTTGAACAATGCAAACAAAAGTTTACAAAGGCGTCCTGCTTATGTGCGCAAAAAAAGTGCTTCGAAAATACCCAGAGCCAGCTACTAAGAATTAATGGAATCGGCTTGCCTGTATCAATTAGCAACGGCATAAGGTAGTCGATCTCATGGAAAGAATTGAACTCTAACATATTAGAATCCATTCTGTTTAAGCAAGTGTTGAGTAACTGACTGGCACCACCGTAATGGTTAAGGTACATTTACCAACGGTAAAATTGAACGTGTTAACAGACTTGAAGTGAAAGGCCCATACATGGACAGAGGGTGAAAAAAGTTTAGATAAAATTTCGAATAAAAAATTAAAGTAAACAGTAATTAGGAAAAGTATAGTATCAATGATTCTTTGACATTAAAAGGGGAAAAGATAAATTTGCGCCCCACTAATTATAAAAAGAAATAATGGGGGTATGACACTGTGCACGGAGCGCGCGGCAACTTTCAACTTAGAACACTTGCTTCTATGAAAAAATCACCATTAAACACGGTTTAGGAGTCTAATGCACGAAAACAATGCAAATGACTGACTTACCAATTTTGCGTTCCCGCAAAGAACACGCCATCACACAGATAATGCACGGAAATCCCACACTCCTGTTCGCTAATGGCTATTAATTCACCCAACCACATTGTAGATATCACTAAGATGCCGTTTAATACACTGTTTTTTCAACATAACTAACTAGCGCTTACCAGTTATTTGCAAGACTTTGCTTTAAGCGTATTTATTATCGCAGGTAAATGAGTTGGAGGCACATTTTAAATAAAGGTGTTTTGGCGGCATTCCATGTGGTAAGACCGTGGGCTACATATTTGAGTCATCCCTTACTTGAAAAAAAACGAATCTTAACAATGCTATAACGTAAACGCATCAAGTGAAGCGATAATATTTGGTAAAATTTGCCGTACTATTGCCTGTCTCGCAATTGTCTATCTAAACAAAATGGTAACTGCCTGACACTTCCCTGAAAACGTGAGAAGTCGTAATACTTAAAAAGAATATGTACTGACGATTTGCACAGATGCTAAGGGCTAGTGACATGGCTCAAATGCCAGTCTGACTGGATCAGGCGCTATAGCGGGCCCCCCCGTTGATCGTTACTTAAAACCAAATTTTAAACGAACAATCAGCGCATTACGCAACACCATTGAAAACGTTTTTTGGGCCACCGGCAGCCATTATATGATAGGGGTTTGCATTTACGCGTTGCACTGCAACCCTCTGCTATTTCATTTTTCTACGCGGGCCATTGAGTTTGTGTAAGTTGTATGTCAGCCTTGCAGCGTGACCTTCAAGCCGTGCCAATAGCCCTCCTGCCCATTTGGCTGTGCATTCTCAGTGGCACTTAGGCTTGTCATAACTGCAGGAGAGATTTAGAGAGCAAAACAGTTTCATTTGTGATGCTTAAACATCCTTCACAACTTTGATTCTGTACATCCTTGGTTATTATTCCACTAATTTTTATTGCACTTCACTGGGGACTGTAGTCTGCAGGTCGCCGCCGTTAACAAAGCTTACATTTACAACCACACATAGAATTGTATGAGTAAAATTACGTGTAGCACTTTAGAATGTGATGACTAAATCAAGTCTTCTCATGAAGCAACCTTTTACACATTCTTGTATTTCAAAATACTTTGTTTGTGGTAGGAGACCAGTGATTTAAACTGCTTTACTTACCGTCATAAGTGTTAGTTGTAAGTCCGCAACTCTTCAGACTTGGCAAAAACATTAGTGGGTAATTTCGTGGTTCCCCTTTTTGGTCTGAATTCACGCTAATTACTGACGTTGAATATGGCCTCTACTCGACTAAATCATCCGATATGCAGCAAGGTAGTCCGTAACCTCGTAACCTAGACTGTGAATGTCATCTAATAACGTCCCAGCACGCCCACGTCATCCATCACGTTTGCCATTAAAGCATCAGAGAAAAATTGACAATCACAGGATCTAGTCTAACCACTTTCCAAACTAGTGAAGGAAGCGTTCTGTACCGGCAACCCAGCGTCACGCGTATGTGACACGCGACTCCGCTCCAGGAAAGATTCAATAAGCCACATAATAAACGTCTATAAATCACTCGGTTAGTAAGAACTTCGCCAGCCCCTCTTCACACTCAAACAATTCCACAATACGAAAAAGCAAAAAAAAAAACTTATAATCTATCTGGTTAATCTTGGTCTTAAGGGAAGGAAGAGGTTAAGAGGGGAGCGTGAAAGACTGCGCAACCACCGCACTAGACGCGGAGGAGAGCTGAGTATATACATATTTTCAAATTACTCCATCCCAGGCAGTCCATAGCCGAGACGCGAAAGGGCGATTGCCAACCGACGACGCTGCACGTTCTCAAACTGATGACGACGCATAGGCTCAGTGAGAATGCCCGAGTCTACGTTGAGGGAGCGAGAAGCGCGGTTATCAGAAGGCAGGGAGTTGGAGAGAGAGCGGGTGACGGGGGTGGTGGGAGTGCCCGTCAGACCCCGACGAATAAGGCTGAGGTACTGGAAGAGATCAGCCACTGCAGCGATGCGTTGACGAGCCCATGATGAGATATTGCAACGCTCCACCGAAGTTGAACCGTCATCGTTCAACACCTGCGTCAGTAAAAAAAACAGTCTTTTGCGATGAACGTAGGCACTGCTATTGGAGCGGAAGAGTGGGAAAGTGAAAATAGCGAGGATGACCGCCTATTGCGGATTTAGTCGTAACTCTGGTTGCTAACTGCAGAAAGACAGGTGAAGTGTGTTCCACCAATAAATGTATATAATGTATTTGCTGTTATTCAAGTTCACGTACCAAAGAGATTTCACACAATCGATTTGGATAGTACCATCGACGCAAATAGCTAAAAGGGAATATCTATGTGTATACCGCGTCCCAAAGCAAAGTGAAAAGCCTCATAATCGAAAAGGGGGGAGGACAATGTTGAGTGACTCCAGTAGTCATGTTCAGAAAATTCTTCCTATCAAAAGTCGAAGTGAAATGATTTTTTAGCCTATGAAAAAGTCTTCCCCAAGTGAGTCCAACGTCAGAACGCTATTCGTCCGAAAGAACGTATAGCACGGTGAATTTACTTTGAATTGAAAATAAGGACCACTGGCTTTGATAATCGAGTACTTGTACCATCGCCATTCATATCTCTTGGATGGTTAGCATGTGTCTAACCATAGTTAATGATAATCGGAAATCTCAAGAAGACATAGAGAGGGGTACGTGCTTGCGACTGGATTCTAATAATCTTTACAGTTACTTCCAAGTCAACGTAGTGCACGTTAGCTTTCGCATGTGTAACTCAGAAGCCGCCCCGAAGAGGAATCTGCATCCGAGTGGAGAGTGCTAAATTTTGTAAAACTAGAAGTGGGTCCTTTGACATACAATGAATCGACATATTCAAACGATAAGCCACGAAACGCGTGAAATTAATAGAGCTCATTTGAGTGGTAGTTTGTCATACTGGTTACGCGGCTTGTGTCAATCGAGTTGTAAGCTAATGCATTCAGTGGGGCAAAATGTCAGATCCCTCACCAGAAGGTGTGGAAATGCATACTTCTTAATAATCTCACACAACGAATAAAGTCGTTGACAAAAACCGGCTGAACGTTTACATGAACTGATTAGGATCTTAAGAACAGAAGCGGGATGTAGTTAAGTAGTATCACTCATGGGTAAGTAGCTACACCGTATATCAGATCCAACAAGCGAAGTCAATCTTCACATTTTTTAGAAGAAATTAACAAAAACTGAACCACGATGTTCACTTTACTGAAAATGGAAAAAGAGAGAAACAAAACACTCAAGTAAATAAGTGCTCGACTGAATGTAGGATGGAACACGGAGCTACCAGTACAACAACAATGATGCCAAAAACGTAAAATGACCTTGGCTACAAATACTGCACGGCCCCTCCGACCTCAGACGTTAAATTAAATGCGTCAAGGGAAATAAAAACCACCGCAAGATTGAAAATAGATCTCAATCATATTCTGTCGCATGATGCTTGGATTGAAGAAAAAACCGGAATTTGCAGTGCAGTAGGTTACAAATGGCCTCTTATTGAAGTTGAAAAGGGGGTGGAATCCTTCCAAAAGCATACCTGAGTAATGACCCACAAAATTGCAATTTCAGATGGTGAATGTGAGGTGGATAAGCCTCGTGACATGTGAAATCGACTAACAGAGCTGTCTATTAGAAACTAAAAATAATATGCATTACATCACATTAGTCCAGCAGTTAGAGTTAGAGATCAGCCTTGATATTTTTAATTTGGTTCAAAATCAAGCATTCCTATACCTAAACCTTGCTATATTTAACCAAACCATTTCTCCATCAAAGTAAGAATGGTAATGTGAATCACAAACAGTGGAATCCGATCAATTACAGAAAAACTACGATTTCCCCCTCGATCGCCTATGGGGTTGTCCGCAACCCCAAGAAGTATTCCTATTTAAATCTTCTATAAGATCCTATTTTCGTGTCCGATTCCCGAATAGCCTGAAATGTCGCGGCCTCGCCTAGTCACCCTTGGTTGTCCAATATCAAATCTGCAGCTAAAGAGAACATTGAAGTACAGTGTGCTCTAAGTAAGATAATAATTACTGTAAGTCCAAGACCAACTAAATGACATAAATGTGGGAGGCTAAAGCCGCTCCGGCCTCCGGCACATCCCGCTAGATGGCTGGCTATCGTGCTCGCGTGCAGCGTACTCCCACTGTTTATTCTTGCCCGTTGGCAGATAGAGACGTCTACGTCGAAGTTTTTCCCCGATTACTTCGGTTGGAAACCCGACAGGATCCGAACTCACGCACGTCAACATCAGCTTATAACAGTGGCTAACAGTTCTCACTATTCTCTCACCGACAACCATGGGTAATTGGGGAAATGTCAAGTTCATTCACATACCTCCAGCTTAAGACTGAATTTGACTGGTTCGCCGGGCACAAGAGGGCAGGTGAAGGTATCGGTAACCTCTATATCGGTGGTCGGAGTGGAGGCAAAAAGGGAAGAAAGGGGTTCCATCTCTACCCCGAGATGACTGAGAGCTAGAGGCAGAGTGGCGCAAAGGCGGGCGTCGGCAAAGTCCAACGCCGGTGCGATATCCTCGCGTACCAGGCGATGGAAGAAGGCGTGCTCCTTCAATGGGGGTGGTGGTGACGGATGTGGAGTAGGATAGGGCAATCTGATATCCCCAACGTCGGAATTGTTGCGAGATCGAGGGGCTCCACCACTGGAACTGCTCTCAGCCAAGGTGATGCTCACCGTGGGCTGTTGATTTGGTTTACCGTCACCGTTGTCCTCTGGCCAGCTTAGACAGCACCCACAGTCCACCCAGTCGACAAATTCCTGAAGTGCCAGGGGGTTAAGATGTTGAATCAAAAGTGGTGCTACTACTACCCACGTTACAAAAATGCGTACTGGATCAAGCCCACTCATCAATAGTACCGTCGTTTTTCAGATAAGAGTGGTTACCACATCGGTGGGTTGAAAAAGAAAGAGTTGTGCAATGCCGGAATGCATTTGTGGGCAAAAAAACACTAAAGCACTCCTGAGGGTTTGGGACAGAATCGACCGCCTGTTAAATCCTGTCTGGCTTAGAGGATGACTAACACACATGGTGCATGATAAAGTGATCATTCCGGTTGCTAATTCCAACCTTTTCTAGTGATGTAAAGTGAAAGTATTGCTGAGGTGCCCAGAAAATCCAAATGGTAACAGCTCCAGAGGGAAATCAACCACCACACCTCAAATGTTTTAGCGTTCTAACTGCGGCCCCGGCCGTCATAAGTTTTTTGGCTGAGTCGGCTGTTGCTCCAAAACCAAAGTCGCATTAAAAAAAATTTTACTATGGCTTGTTATTTTGGACTCAAACAATGCGCGGCACTACTCGACGCAAACAATTGCTCATCATAAAAAGCACATGCTTATAAAGTCAAGTTCAGGCAGGAAAGTCCGGGAGTCACATGTGTGCGACGCTGGTATACGAAAGTGATAATTTAGCAACTTCGACATCGAATTAGTGTGTTGTGTTTTTAACGAAGAGATCCTATTTTGAAGTTTAACCGGTCAGATGAACAAAATCGGAATCGGAAAATTGTATTAACATCAGGGACCCCTGAAAAACCCATCACAAGACAACATGTGAACTAATGTAGTGAGTAATGCGATTGTCTTTTCTATGCCTCTGCGGTGGCTCTGTCCAGCGAAAGATGATGACTCATGCTAATAAGTCTAGTTGTTTAGTTCAAAATTTACTCCACAGGACACAGTGATCGGCTTTACAAGAAGGAAATCAAATGCAGACGAAATATCACAAGCGGGGACACGTGAGAGCAAAAATCGGTTAGACCAGAAGACGAAGCTGGAAGGAACTGCACCAAAAGTACTACAAAACGTGATTAAACCCAGTCCGAGTCCAGTCATAGGACGTGAGTCCTCGACTCCGCGAAACAAAGAGCGATCAACGTGTCCTCTTTGCAGCTACGATTCATCCAACAAATAACAATCCTGAGGTCCTCCCAACTTACATTTTTTTCTAAAGACGGTTGAAGATAGGTTAATGAGCCAATCCAACAAAAAACTAGCATTAAATACTCCGTTATCTCTTAGCTCAGAAAAGGTAGATGATTGTGTCGCAAGTGCGACGATGTTTACATCATCAATGATATTAAAGCAGCCTTGCGCTCCTAAGATAAAGAGGGAACTTTGTGTCAATAAATAAGCCAAGAGCCACTAGTGTTTATATTACTGAAAAGGTCGTGCACTACAAATCTTTGTGCGCCGCTTACAGCACAGAGATAAAAAAAAGAAACTAAACAATGCCGTTCAAAGGCTGATTTAGTTACCTCAAGATACGACAAACCAATCAATTTGCCGTTGGTAAAAGAATACGCACCTCATTCACTTTTCAACCTACACATATAGGGAGGAAGAGGGAGAAAAGATATGACCCTCCTTGTCTCCAAATAAAAATAGAAGCAGGAGCGGTTAGATTAACGAGGAGAGTATACAGGGTAAATCATACCGATTCCAGTGAAGGTAGTGGGAGATAACCCCCTTATACTTTAACGCTCAAAGCCATGAGGTAAAATTGTTTACGTGACAGGAAAGCCTTCGTGCCACTTGTCAGAAGCATATAATAACACAGATTTTTTCATATTTTGAATGGCAGGAACGTATCACAAGTGCCTTTTCCTATCAGTGCTACTTTTCTCTAACTCAAAAGCTGTTTCAACAAGGATCACACAGCACGGTCCAAGCCAAAAGTAGCCGAAATGATGGTAAATCAAGGCGGGTGTGGAAGGAAGTGTGACATCCACCACGGGATGGAAATGAGAAAGTTCATGCCACGTGGTGTCCAGAGCAGCTGATCTCGTGCTAAGCGAGGTGTGGACTTTGTGAGGCCCCGAGGCACGTGATTGCATTCCTAGTTAGGCAGAAGGTGGACCCATCATTGATTAATCTGAATAGACGGAATTTCAAACCCTGTGGACATAGACGTAAAAATACCCCCTTCAACTCCAATGTTTTCTAGCCTTTTTTTCTCATTAGAAATGGGTAGTGAATACGTACCAAGAGCAATTTATTAGCTTATAGTAGATAACTAGCCACATCAAAGCGTGTGGCAATCAGGTTGGTTGGATTTTAAACAATGCAATAGACGTAGGACGTTCTTGGTCCGGGGGAGGGGGTAACTTCATATTACACTTTTCGAGTAGCAGCTGAATCGGTCAGAAATTAACGACAATTGATGGTAGTAAATTACTGTCTGAGGCACCAGCAGAAAATATTAAAGCCTCCTCTCGGCCATGCCACTTAGTTTACACGTAAAAATTGCAATTTTTGCATATGGTGTGCCCACTTAATCTCATTACAAACATCACCTATCCAGTGTGCGGAGCTAATTCCACCCACGCTGATGAGCACCACCAGCTTAGCAAAATTTCTACAATAAATGGTCTTCCCGAAATACAACCAAAAACGACTTTGCCACTTCATGATTAACCGAGGTCACTCACTAACGGATTACTATTCAATCACTTATCGAACTACAGACCTTGATTCAACTACTGAAAGTAAGAGCACTTCAGAGTTGGGAAGAAAACCGAGGCACTTAGTAACAAAAGCGTCATCAAGGCAAACCCAACTATTTGATGGCATACTAGCTTACTTCTTTTAAGATACCCCAGTGTTCCTGCGAATTGAGCAAATAGAGGGAGGAGCAGAGGTAGACCCAGCCGAAGACCAAAACAGTAGACAGGTTAAACAGGCAAACAAGCAAACTTATGAACTTCTCTTACCCAGGAGGAGAGCAGAAAATGAATCACAGTAAGTAAATAGTCACCACTGGCACATAAAACTCACTCAAAAGCTCCTGTATGAGGGGGAGGTACGGCCGGGATATGACCTCAAAGTAGGTATACTCGCAGGGGTAACGATTTGACTTCATTGATTTATTCACCAAAGGAAGCGGGAAAATCTACTTGGTTGGATAATGAACATGGTGGTCGGTTTCTGCTAACTTCCCGCGAGAATGTGACGGAGGTAATACCCACTGCCAAAGGGGTGCATCAATAGGTAGCTATAACGCTGATCGCTTCCTAAGTAATGGTACTGTAGAACCTTGTAGATCTAACTATTACACCGTTAAGACTGACAGGAAATAAGGTAATTTTTGATCAGTAACAGCTTCAGAGCGGCTGAGCACAGCGGTTGACTGTCGCTTGACGTCCAGTCAACCACATGCGCCAAGCACAGAAATAGGTCAAGTTGGTGATTGGTTTCAGCATGCCCAGAAGAAGGAGCCAGCTCAGTGACTCTGAGGATTACCAAAGCGGGACCACTTATACACCCATGCATGGGCTCACTTGCACACAAGCCGGCAGAGGAAAAGTCATTCGTGCGATAAATCATGGAATTCCAAGTCGTCAAAGCCATATGGAACAATGGGTCAATCGCATTTGTAGCACATTAAATATGACGAAAAGAGGGGCTACGATCAAAAGTAATGTATTTTTTTTTCAATTCATAGGCGATAATTTGATATCATCCGCTGTCGTTATTATCAGATACCCTCCAAATCTAACCTTAGGCGTTTCAAAGAGGATACACATCTGTAAAATTCAAAAAATTGAAAATGAAACAATAGTGGGGTGGTGTGGAGGCCCCACTGTCTGAAAAAGTACAGCCCCGTTTCTATGCTGATTTGACTTACTGACAGGAGAAATTAACATGCCAGATTAAGGCATCAGGTAAAATAAAGTTCATGCAATTTGCAATATTAGCTCCCAGCAATAACTTGCAACTTTTGGGGAAGGAACTTCTGACATCGAACTCTTCACAAGCATGGATCATAAAGTGCAGATATCCAGAAGTTCATCAGTGCAATACTCCTAACTGTGTTCTACGTCAAAAATTGGTGTAACCTGATGGATGTGATTCTAGTTTGCCGGCTTAACGAACCGAGTTGAAACCGGTGCTAAAGTCGCAGAATCTACCCACAACATTTGCTGCATAGCATCTAAATAAGGTGGCGTGGCAGAACGTGCCGTCCAGAAATGGTTCAGACAATTCAATTCCGCTGGTAATTCTCACTCAAAGAAAAGTGAATAGCATTCATCATTAATTCAAATAATTGGCTATTGAGATGTCAAGACCATGCAATGCGATCCAAAGTGAGAAATCATCATAATTATTTTTACCAAAAATACTCAAGTTTCAACTGTTTAGTACGTCATTTGACAATATATTCAACCCACAAATTCAGTTAAATCAAAAGTAATAAGAAATGATGAAGGTATGGTAAAAATGATTTGCAGCAAGAATATCACCCATTCGGAGTTGTTTAGAGATGACGCAATTGCACATGTCAGAGAAATCGATTAATTAGGTCAGTATCTTGTTAAATCGCACCACGTGATTGCGTACAGGGAGCTAATTTCGTCAGCACTGCTAAAAATCTTGTTGTTCAAATGCGCTTGAAGTGCGGGAAATACTCTCAAATCGGAATGCACACATTGATGCAATGCGCCTGAGCATGCACAAGAGAAACCAAAGAGGCGGATTTGGTGTGACAACTATGAAGTCCAAAAATGAAAGTTGACGTATGGTAAACACGCTTACCCACACGCACTCGAGAGCAAACACGTCTTCGAAAACTATACTTCCGGTTTGGCTAAACCCGATCTGTTGAGGGCCGACTGAAGAGTTCAGCGGACAACAAAAGCCATGGATGCCATTAAGAGTGCAAGCCCACTTGAGAGGGTGAGGTAAATTGAATTCTGCAGACTCCAACTTATTTAAATCAGTGCATACTAAATGAGCCGATGCAAGGGCTTACACACAGCGTGATTAACTGTTTGAGGGAGATGTGGGATCACATAGAGAAACAGATTAGGTGCTTCGGTTTGAGGTGAAAAGGAACAGTAAAGTCGTCATCACAGTCAATTAAGGAAACAGAAACGGATGAAAACTGTAGGAAAATGGGTTGAACAATTATAACGTAAGCATGTGAGAGAGTGTCTTTGGAAAGAAGTAAACTGAAGACGATAAAATCACCAAGGCAAAGTCGATAAGGTAAATGGCAAGGAGGTTGCGAGAAGTCAAAGATCATTTCACCGACATATGCCTAACTTCCATCACGAAAAAACCGAACGCTTTGTAGTGACGTTTTAGGCAAAAAAAATAGCACGAAGGCCCCTAACACTCCTTGCTACAATTAAAAGCTAATAATAAAAACTTATGAAAGCCAGCTTTTATTTGTGGCAAGGAGTGTTAGGAGCCTTCGTGCGGTATTTTGTCTAAAACGTCATCATAAAGCGTTTGTTTTTACTTGTTTAATAAATGTATTTAAACCTGATACTGATCAGTGTGGAAAGTTATTCAATTATAACAGGGAAGGGTGGGAGATTTGCATTGAATAGTAACTCACTGAAGATATCAATACTATCAATGAATCTTTATTTTTGTTGATAGTCTCAAAACCGGCAGCATATGTCGAGAAAGTCGCTAGGAGGTAACTAGCACGATAAAGCGGACAGACCTTCGGCAAAAGTGGTTGTAAAAGTACCAAGTGAGACGCCGAACACGTTTGTGCACATCAATAGTGTCAAACAAAAGCTAACAATAAGAAGGCTGGTAGAATTTAAATATCAGACAGACGGCATTTGTCTTACTCCTGTCAATAGTGTATCCAAATACCTATCTTAGTATTCCAAATAAAAACATACAAATACTTTCAACAGACTAGACTTTTAAGGAGAGCTAACAGGTAACGAGAATATGCAAAATGTAGGCTCGTACTTGAGGCATCAAACAGTTTTGATTAGTGAGAACTCGCCTGAAAGTGGTCGTCACCCACTGTTTCAGCACAAGTAGCACTGGAAGTGAGGGCCTCAAGGAGGTACTTGCGAGTGACGGGCTCCTGCGAGGTTACATTAATGATGGAAGTGTTCAAGGTAGAGCTCCACCGACGTCGATCCACCTGCGAGGCAAGAGGGTTGGAGGAGTGAGGTGGGGTGGGGGCGGGGCTGAGGAGATAGCTAAGACGTCGCAGACGATTGCCCTTGCCCTTCTCCTCCGCCTCCGGTGTGCTAGCTGTCGGGACCATGCCTGACATTGACCTGTAGTGTAGAACTAGCTTCACCTTAAAGACAATGGCTTCAGTGGCGAGGGATTAAAGCAAGACCCTTGGAGTAGGTGTATATAACGAGACGCCAGCAGCTCAAATCAACAATTAGGGATCCTGTATGTCTTTTTATACTTGGTCTTAAGTAGACTGCTGACGCAGTAGCCCTAATCAAACAGCGTGAAGATACGAATTTTAAAATGATTAAATGAGAGTTTATTTCTGACCAAACTAAACGGGACGTTACACAGTTAACTGAATCGCTGGGGTCGTAACGCCACGTTATAAATTAACCCTCCGCGAATCCTAGATGATTAGAATTTTTGAATACCTTTTGTGATGCAGGTGACAATTTGTGCTATGTGATTGTAAAATGGCAAACAAATTGCGTAACACGCCTATCTGTTTTATTGAACTACAATACAGGTACTGATATGCTAGAGCAGAATAAAAAATGGCGAAATACTTGAGCAGTAACACGTAACTTAAAAATTCGTTTGTAGTCAAGATGATTAGCGCCTATATTTGAATATGTAGCATATGATTTTATTATTATAATGCCATTTATAACTGTGCAAGAAAAAAGGTAATCTTAAATTAAGCAAATGAACTTGTGAGATATTACTGATTAACAAACCACTCAATACAATTCGAACCTAAAAATGCGGAATTATGTAGGGCCAAGGAAAATATATAGATTGCTAGTCGATTAGGGATACGGAAAGTGAGTAGTCATGAAAGACAGGATAGCGTTGAACTGACCTCTGTACAGCGAACACGCCTGATTTTTCTTCATGCAGCCGAAGAGTATTTTTGAGGGCTTGTACTTCTTTTTTGAGGATCTGAAAATAGGATAGGATTTGTTTCCAAAAAAAGTAACAAAAGAAAAGGAAAGCCGAGTTTGCTAACCGAATTTTCCTTCTCTACTTCTTTAGCACGCTTAACGGCAGCGTGTTCAGCAGCGTAAGCATTTTGCGCCTAGATTATGTTAATCAAAAAAATGAGGATACCATTTTATTTGCCTCTTCAAAAAGTGCAGCTTGCAACTCCATGCATTCCTTATTTAGGGAATCGATGTAGTGCTTGAGCTCATTATTTTCTTCAGTCAGTTTTTTCGAAATGCTTTTGCCCTCCATCCTAAATTACCAGTCAAAGTGGGGGTAATGCAAAAAGAAAAGAGACATGCTTGCGAATATAAGCTTCAAATATATTAACAACCACAGTAATATGGAAACAGTTTAGCAAAAATCAACTAGATGATTCAGAGGTAAAGAAACTATCAGCAGCACAATAGAAACAGTGAAAAATCCTAGGGATTATGCACGGCAGGGACGCCACAAATAAAAAGGCATTGTTGTTAAGTAGGACACTGTATGGAGCTGTACCACCCATATCACTTACCTAGATGGGAGAACAGTCGAAATCCTGAAAGACTAACCAGATGACCACACGCACGAGAACGGAGTAGTTTGTAGTTTCAAATGTATTTAAACAAAGTGCTGTTGGTTACATGTCTTTTCATGAAAACGATAGAAAAGCTGGGATAAAAGGCAATTTAGAAGCCCTTAGATAGTAAAACAAGTAATTATCTACTGCAACGAAAAAATAGGCTAACTTGAGAAAATATTGAGAAGTTTGCCGACGCAATGACTTCAGCGATTATTTCCAGATGGTGTCTAAGGAATGCTGCCTTTTAGCACAATTCTAAACTTAAATAAGCAGCTACACTAGAACCAATATCCCACATGTACTCAAATTTTCATCTTTTGGTTGAAGGTCAGAAAATGGAAGATGCGCCCTGGTTTTAGTTTTTAAGCATTTGTGACATTTGTCCTACGCAAATTTTTCAGTATTTAGCGAACCGCTAAATGCATTAGTCTTGATACTTGAAATGATTACATAAGACATATCCTTTTCCTTATAATTGCAGCGATGAAATTGCCAGAGTTGTGCTTGTTCATAATGCATATCCTTTTCGGGGGAAGATGATACCTGTTCCATTGCGAGAATCGTGGTTACTAAACAAATCCTCCTCAAGAGGTGCATTTCGACAGACATACATTGCACCGATATTTTATGCCGATTTTCGAGACCAGTATAATTCCTTTAATCTTTCTGTCTGGATTTTCTTCACTCCGATCTTCGAAAGATAACTAATATAGCTCTTTTTGGTTATGGATTTAGAACCTCCAGCAATGTTAGAGAATTAGGGCGAAATGTTCCTAAGCCACAAACATCGTTGATGAAAACTCAGAAAAGCTGTGCAGCAGACCTTTGAAACCACTGATGGTGTGTTTACGGGTGAACACGTATCCTCAAATAGTATTAGTTAGTAAACATCTTCCCTTCAAACTTGCGAATTTGATTGGTACATTAGTGTTGTTTCGGTGGCCTACCTTAATGAAATAGCCCAGATTAAGCGAGTCTTTCATGTGTTCGTGTTAATGTCATCGTAATATTGTGGTGTCACTTCATAATATCACATAAACTGATTTTAAATGGACTAACCTGAGCATCGTCCTAGGTTCCTATGCATAGTGCAGTTGATGACTAGGGATTCTGAAACGTGAGTGGCGTTTGGAAAATCCACCCTACTACCTAGGGTCACTTTTTGTTACTTGAATGTCTCCTAGTTGTGTGCTCTGATTTTCTTTTCCGTTGCGGTTTTGAGTGCATGCTTTTACTAAATAATGTATGGCACTTGAATACAGTCATCTAAAGCCAGGTGTTTGCCGCGTTTGAGACGTAATTAATTGTAGTAGGCCACGCGTCATCAAGTCCCATGCTTTTCCCCACTATTTTTAGTTAAGCAGCTCCCCTGGATGGGGAAACAAAAATCAGGATACAGGGTGACAACGTATTGATTGTTCTTTAGTGATGACGATGATGTTCTCAGTTTCCACTCCATGTTTCTTAGATGTACTCATATTTTATTCCAAGCGTAATAACTAATCGTTTTTGAGTTAAGACATGTCGAGGTACGTGAGCTGAGTCTCTGTTTGCACGTTTGTCGGCGGTACTTTTAGTTTTCTGCTACGTTTTGTCTTAGGAGTACGAGATCATTTCGAGAGATTACTGTCTTATTGCAGCTATTGTCTTTCAGAAGCAAATCCTCGAGGTCTCGTGGCAATATCAGACGAAGTTCGCGCACTCAGATCTCTGATGATGATATTCCTTCCGGTAACTTGTTGTGATTTATTTTTCTGTTCAAGATATCTAACACATTTGGTGAGTCTATCTTTTCACCGTTTTTAGAGGGGCCTCTTGTAATCGATTGCAATTTTCAATCAGACAGTTACCAGCCTTCAGAAAATTCGCCCCTTTACTCCAAAGAGGCAAATACTAGTGCTCCCCGCAAACGAGGTTGTGCTTTCACGCCTTGTTCTTGAGTCGTCAAAAAACTGCAAATTAACCACCTCAATGTGTATTCTCAGCCTGGTCTAAATTTCTAAATTCAAAGTGTGGTCTTTGGAATTGGTGTGGTTTTCTTGCTTTTATACGTGTTCTGACAACTTGCTTTATTTCCCGTAGTTCAACGGAAATAATATTCACATTTTGCTACTAGAATCCGAAATGCCCACACGTCGTAAAAGTGCTGCAAAGTCGCGGACTCCCTCCCGATCATCAAACACACGCTTCACTGACAAAGGTGACAGCTCCACACGGAAGAAACGTAGAAGAATTTCTAGAGTATGTCGCCCTGCGTTCCTTTTCGAAAAAAATTAAGAAGCCTCATATTGTACTAGAACATGTTTTGCCCAAAATAATCAGGGTATCCATAAATAGTTGGTCAGCTTTTTCATTGCAGCAGACTATGATTTCACGATTTATTAAATCTGATAAGGAGTTTTTATTCCATACTATGAATATTAGATTCCCTGGTCAAACCGCAATTAGTTAACACCTATCTTTGGAGCTGATTGTCATCGTATAAAGTAAGACAAAGCTGAAAGTACGTTAGTATGGGACGGGCAGCAGGGTATGTTCTTTACCTGTAGAACCAAAGGAAGTTCAAAACGGTTCGGGCATTTTTAGACTGCTACTACAGATCAGTTCTAAGACGATTGATATTCATGGGGTGGTCGTGCTAGTTGATGCAAAATAAGGTTTAGAAGCCATCCCTATATTTAAAGTAAGCCAGTATCTTATGCGTCATGAATCCGCGCATATGTAAGCCACGATGACCATGCTGGGACACTACCCATCCGTTGCTCTCGTCTTGAAGTGGGTTCGTGGCCACCTCAAACTGGCTTTTGGGCCTCTTGATAGTTGTGATTTTCATCGCTTTTTAATGTATGTGCTGTTTGCCTATCGTATCATTATGTTGCATTTTTTTGCACCAATCAGACGGTGAATTATTGTTTGATGTTTTTGGAACCTCCGCAGGTCTTTACACAATTAGTTTAATCGGTGGCTTTGTTATTTGTTTTGCTGTATCCGTTTAGTGGCTATTTGTCTAGGTATCATTATCGCATGCAACTATTTTACATGTGCTAATTTCATGCTCTTGTTTTTACCGCTTCAGGATAGACTGGAAGATGGTAGTACACCGGACATGCTCGACTCTCTTTTAACAGGTAGTAACATTTGAGGAGAATGATGATACCTTTACTAAAAATGGAGATTTTGCCCCACAGCATCACATTCTCGAGCGAGCTCCTCATCATTGATATCTAATGAAAGAACCGTGAACAATTGTTTAGCATTATAAAATCAAATTTGATAAAAGACATCGTAAAGGTGGTTCTGACGTAGAACTCAATCAAATGCTGTTTGTGGTAGAACCCACGTTGTTGCACAGGATGGTACTGGACCCAATGGTTACACTAGCGATCGGCCATTGTCATCACTGGTGCTGCTAACTTGCGTTTCTAGATCCCGATTGGAACTCATTAAGGGAATCAACAGGTGGAAGAAGCAGTCGAAACTCCTCCAGGACAAATAGACAATCTGAAACTCGTACACCTACACCAGTTAGGGGTAGATGTGTATCCCTTATCGAGGGTACAACGGTTGTCCAGCCCGTCTCGTCACCGGTAAAGAAGCGGAGTCGCAATAGTCGAAAGCAGGGTTTGGAGAATATCCAGATGTCCCTGCTCTCGCAGACCGAGCAGACGGATTGGCTACTGCCTAGGCGCAGCACGGGTCCAATGAGTCCGGGTCTGGTGCCAAACATCAAGGCTAGACACCCCTCAGACTCTTCTCAGGAGGCAGTTGATGACTTCTGCTGGATTTGTCATCGTCCTGGACAGGTAGAACTTGAATTTTCCCCAGATTTAGGTACTAGCTCTCCAGAATTTCGAGACTTTTTGCTGTTTTAGTTGAAATCCTGCAGCAGCTGTCCCCGCGTCTACCATTCCAATTGCTCAAACATTCCAGAGAGTAAGTCGGGTGAAGGCTTGTCGCATGAAAACTGGCAGTGCGCCCTGTGTCGTGAACTAGCTTTGGGCACATCGGACGGGGTGAAATGGGGACCAGTGGTTTCGACTGTGACCTACGAGAACCAACTTAATAAGGCGTTGGCTTTTATGATTGATTTCTTGTCCATTCAAAGCTGGGTACGTGTCCATTTTATAGCCGTCTCCCAAGAAAGTTCCTTACTTAATTGGTGTTTGAGTAGCTTTTATCAGCAGTGCTTGAGTAATGAAGTATGCAGAAGCCGTCTTATTCTAATGTAACTTCAGCGCAACTTTTTTGCAATTTTAGGCGGAACCATTCCGAGAATCAGTCGATTCTAGTGAAAATTTCGGCACGTCGGGTGCCATCAGATATCCTATGGATCTTCGTACACTCCTTCAGGTGTGGTTTAACTGGTTCTGCATAGCTTTTTTTCTGAACGCAAACTAATCCCCCCCCTCCCGTTTTTCAGCGAGTCAATGCTGGCCAATATAAATCAACGAATGCATTTCTGGCTGATTTCCTCTGGATCATTCATAATTGCTTCATATCCGAGGAAAAGCCAAGTAAGTTCATCTCACCTTTATATTTGCTATTCTTATCGTGCGCTCATCTCTTGACAAGCAAGCCAACTATAAATGTTGACAAATTTTCGGCCAGAGGTGGGCGCAGATGATCTTATTCAATGTACTCTCCTCATTTTCTCAGACCCCCAACTCTTGGTTAAGGCGCGTTCTCTAGAGCAAGCGTGTCTCTGCGAGATCGAACTCCTGCGAGCCTGTCCCACCTGCTACCTCAATCGAATTATCGCCCTTCCTGTCCTCCCTTCGACTACTTTCATCTTCCCCGCCATCTCCAAGTGTGAACCGCACATATATCGACGTCCCGAGATGCGAAAACCCACCGAGCACCTTACTACCGACCTTGCTGAGGGGCTGTGGTTCACCAAACCCTGTGTGAGTCTCTTAATTCTGCTTGCAAGCTCAAAGCACGATCCTCCTTCCACGCATTGGGAGTTCAGCTCAAAGTGTAATGAAGTTCAGACCGTCTGCGATTGATATCAGATCAAAATTCTACTTGTTCGAAGTCTAACACACCCGATTAGTCAAGGAATGGTGTCTACTTTAATTACAGACTGTGATCCACCCAGTCGTATGGGTTCGTTTCGAGGAGGGGCGACGGTGGCCGGGGAAGATGATGGCGGAGCTGCCAAACAAGCTCCTCCTGGTCTCCTTTTTTGGCACCTATGCCACTCGCAAGACGCCGCCAAACTACGTAACTCTGCACACCTGTCTCAGCGTCTCCGTGAACGCAAACACCCCCTCTGGCGCCGCCGCCACCACCACCGCCTACAGCGAGAAGGAGACGGAAGGAGGACTCAGGCGACTGCCCGATTCTGGCGAACTGAAGGACGCAGAGACCCACGCCCGGGCCTGTGAGGAGCTACGCCGCCATCTTTCTCTCCTTGTCCAGGCCTTTCCCAAATTTCGATTCCCTGCTGCTCCTGCCTCCCGCGTATTACCGTTCTCCCAACACATCATCAAACAGCATTATGGGTAGGTGAGGCGCTTCTTTGTTAAGGCTTTGTCTTCTCTTGGTATAAATTGAAACGGCATGGAATGTCCCTTGGCAGCGGCGTGAGCATACCTCTATGATACTAGTGTGGGAACCGAATCGCAACTGACGCAGTTAAAAATACGATGAAAACAGCCGATATTCTGTTGAACAACCTTCGTTGTCTTTTAATCGTCGTCCTCAGTAGTCGGGTGTGCTACAATCCTCACAGCATCCAAAATCCTACAATGATTTTCTGCCATTAGTGGTGTATCTTGTGAGGTACTCAAAGTTAATCAATGTGCTCTAGCGAGCGGATTTCGCAGTTAATCACTCCTCGTTGAAATGTCCTGAAAACTTCATATAGAGTGGCTTTACACGGTTGTATTCTCTATTCAGTCATCTCTTCAACTTTTACCGTATTTAAGTGAAAATTCACGCGGTTTTCAATGAATCATTCCGATATTTTAAAGGCAAATCTTGATGTAATTATTACGGCCTGTCAAGCATGCCTGTATTTTGTGACAACTACCACGACATTGGTGTGATTTCAATGGTCCCTTTTTTGTAAGTCTGGAGTGCAGACGTCTTCCTTCTACGATGTTTCGATATAGCAGTCATCCAAACCGACATCTCTTTTGTCCTGTAGGCGTGGATCCACCAATGTGGCACTTAAGTAGCTTTATTAAGGGCATATGGAAGAATAGGAATGCCACTAACACGGGTGTCAAGCAACTATGGCACTAATGGAGTGGTTGAGTGGTGGTAAACTACGAAGGTCCACGTAGTCGGATGTGCATTTATAACTGATATCTTTAAACCGAAACTAATTGAGAAAAGCTGGTGGCGGCGAGGAACTAACACCCACACTGCCCAGCATTAGAACTTCGTGGACAAAAATTGGTAATCAAGATGTTGCCAAAGGGCCTCTCCTCCTGTCTTTTTGCCGGTATTCATTCATTAGTGTTCGTTGCCTTAACTACTCACCGTCAGCTTCATCTCTTCTGCGATATCAGTGCAATTGCGCGTTACCGGCCAATAGACACGTGGCTTATTGTTTAGCTTGGCTATTGGTTGTTGAGTTCTCATTTATAAATCTAGCTTCGTGTCATGCACATGTGCTGACATGATGCTTCTCTGCTGCAGTGATACCCTAGATGTCTAGTACACGCTGCTCATCATTTCTTTCTAAGCAATACATGGAATCTCGGTTTGCCAGGTATGAGATGCTTTGTTTCAACAGACATTCTGGGTTTTATTCCCACTACGTTGTTTTTTTGTGGTGGTGTTGATCGTAGGTCCTTCAACCAATGGATCCTTGCAGGAAATAACCTCCCTTCTCCAGCTTCCTCTGAGTCTGGGGCAGCCGCTTCACCGGGACCTACTGGTGACGAGGTGGATTTTGTTCATACCTCAGAAAGCTGTCTCCCCTCCTCACCCTCCCTCGCCACCTCAGTGCCTTCGGCAACTCCCCCCGCCCCATCTCCACCGCTCCCCCCACCTCCCCCTCCACCATCTTTTCAAACAAGGCTGGCGTCGGCACCCCCTCAGTCATCATCATCGTCCTCTAGCACATTTCCTCTCAGTGGAACCAGTCGATCCCTAACCTCGGAGGACTTTTCCGAACCCCTACTGGCCCGTCTTTCTACAAACCTGCTGTCGTCCTTCAGGAACTCCCACGGAGACAGAGAGGGACCGCCTCACGAGCCTCTTTGTAGTTTCCCTCACACGGATGCGGGAGATAAGGTGCAGGATTCGGAGCGCAAGTGCGTTTTCCCCCTTAAGCCTGGTGGCGGTATTTTGTGCAAATCTTGTCTTGTCTGGTTATTAACAACTTTGTCTTATGTTCGCAGGGCGGAAAACAACTTATCATCCACCCACCCATTTAACGACTTAAATGACTTCCAGTTGATCTGACCAGTATAAAATAACCAAATAGAAGTATAAAATGTATATGTAGCGCGTTGAGACTTTCCTGAAGGTGAGAGGCGACACTTTTCGGGCTGAATAGGCATTGTCAACCCAAAAAAAGGGTTGGGGTCCATAGGCCAATCCGCCTGGTGGAGCCTTAAGCCACCACCTACCGAAACCGAGATAATTTTTCATGCCCTCGAATCGGGGTTATTTTGGCTGCTTTGGTTTTCGGTATGGTGAGCTCTGGGTAATTCGTATTTCGCATATTGAGCCGCCCAAATTTCCAAATCGTTCTTAGTATAGATTTCGCTTGGTTCACCAATCTGACCGACTGGTTTCCCACGCAAGGTACAATCGGAGAATGCACTTTTACCTCCCTTTTTAGGGCAGGTGTTAGTCATTAGCGATTACAGGGAGCGCGACTACCCAAGTCTTCTTTGTCTTGTCAAGACCGCTTCTCCCTTTTTCCTATTGTCGTCAAAACATTCACACGATGCTTTGAAATGCGAAAAACAGTATGCTTTATTCGGGGGGTTTTTTGTTAAAAAAATTAGTTGCTACGATGTCCCACCCTTCATGGTTGGGGGTTGGGCGAGATCACCCCAATCTTAGAAATGGAAATGCACCCTGACACATTTTGAAGTTTGCCAACCTGAAGCAATTAGCTGGAGGCGGATTTTGATTCAAGGTATTGAGGATGGATAAAAAGCGAGCTGTGGCCATCCGTCACACCTGTTTCCGGGATCCCGAGGGAAATTTTGTCTCTAATGCAGTTGTTTAAGGAAGAAAATATCAAATCAATCTGCCTAGTTTGTGAATCACCATAGCTGCTGGAGGATGACTCACTCTCGAGATGAATACGCGCGCCTACTGCGTTGTTGAACTAACTAATCCACCTACCACTCTAAGACTGCGAAATACGTTTATCCTTATATCATCAATTCCCAATATCCTTTTCCTTGTTTTAGATGCATCTAGTCTGTTTACAATATGGATGATTTGTTGCTGCCATTTATCTATCGCGTTGCATTTGTAATCCCGGGCTCAGGTAGGCAAGTAGAGGCATCACATATGTGAGGCTAACAATCCAATTATTAGGAGGGATGAAGTTTACGGATTTTGCTGCAACGAGAACAGGTTATAGGTTGGATGTGTTTAGATTTAGAAATTGAGCTTACCTCGCTTGCAGTGCCCAAAAATATTTCCTTCCCAAACAGCTGACACATACCCTCTCTCAGATGACCCCTAGTCATGCCTTCAGGTTTTACCCATGCTCAGCGCGTGAGCGTGCATGCCTGCCCACTCCGTTATTTACTAATTTGGAGGGTGGGGTCTGGTCCATTCGTGGACCAGACATGTGTTTTAACCAGGAAGCCCTTCAGCAGCTCCCACCTACTTGTCCCTCTCAACCCGTTCTTTTTGTTCAGAACGATAAAGGTACAGTTGCTAATTTTGTTTCCTATGATTTGGAACTAATTGAACTGACAGTGATTTGTTTTGGGTCGGATTTACTAAATATCGATAGTGATTGGACTTAATCTTCCCTTTTTTGCATTGCATGCTGGATGGCTGCATCAAAATTTGGTCGCTTTTATCCTCCCTCCACTTTATTCTTTCAGTACCAATGTGCAGGTTGGGAATCCCGTGTATGAGAATGTGGAGGCCCCGGATATGGAAACGACTCCTGCAACGTAAGTGTTCATGGCCTGAGCCGATTTATTGGAAAGAGTAACTGAATGGCTCTTTGGCTTCACGGCTACTTCATATTGCCGCTACACAATCCTCTGTCTCTAAAAATACGCCTGTTCTTAAAAGAATGTGCTGATCATATTGAATTTGTAATTTTCACGAACGTAGGAAGGTTTGCTTCAGCCCCGTGACCTATTGTTTTTCTTACCATCAAGGGATTCTACATCGTCAACCCTTCCCCTACGCCACCTGGATAACACACCTTCAGGTGATCCCAAGGCAGATCTAATTGCTCGCTTCCAAGAAGCTCGAGACTTGTTCTCTGGGCGATTTCAGTCTCTGATGGAGAGTGTCTTTCGGAATCTCGAGGAGTCTATCAATGAGACCTGTTCCATTTCAACTGCTGCCACAGCTCTTGGTGCTTCTGCAGCTTCCACTGCCGCCTCCGAGGTGGAAGCACCTATCCAAGAAGCGACTCTGATCACCACTCGTACGCGTTACTTCTTTTTTGTTCTTAATATATCATTTTAAATTGGCCTTGCATTTGTCTATCATCATTTTACACCCCAAAATTCCAAGCTCCCTTTCTAATAAAGCGTGATTTATGTACTTTTTTTGATAACAGACGACCGGGAGACCCAAACCGCGTCAAATGTTGTAGTTTCGGCGCAATTCCTCGAGGAGAACAAAATGAAGATGGCACTGCTGCGTGCGGAGGTGCTTCGACAAAGTCAGGAACTGGAGCGCCTTCGGCTGCTGTTGGACTACACGCGCTACGAGGTCGCGAGCAGTCATCGTGACCGTCTCACCGAGCTGCGTGCGGTGTGGGAGGCGGAGTTGCTAGCCGCGGTGGAGGGAGTGGTTAAAATCTGCGAACAAGAGGCTTCAAGGCTGATCGATGTTGTGAAGAGGAAGCAATGGGTTAGCGCACACTTTCTTCACTTCCTCGCTGTTGATGCATGCTGATATTGAGCTCTTGATTTTTTTATTTTCGTTGGATGGTGTTTGCTTCTTAGGGCTGGTTTGGTTAAAGGGGATTTCAGAAAATAAACCCTGGCTGACAAATTAAAAGTCGATGTGGAATTTCGGCGTTGATAACTTTCTTTCACTGTTGCTGACTTCACTGATTTCGGTGCCTATCTCTTGGAAGACTTCTTTGTTCAGTGTACTAAATGCTGCTTTTGTGGGGTACTTCCACGTCAAGATTGAGGGAGAGCCTCATCGTTTGCTAAGGTGAAGAGGAAGTGATTAACCCTCGCCTCCTCTCCGTTGCTCTTTGCAGTGTACATACTGTGGAAATGAGGCCTTCTTTTACTGTTGCTGGAATACGGTGTACTGTAATACGACGTGCCAACAATTACACTGGCCGGACCACATGAACTCTTGTACTCACCCAAAACGGCAGGTGGTGCAACAGCAACAGGAGCAGCCGCAGCCGCAGCAGCAGCGTCAGCTGCCTTAACAAGTGAGCTCCCAACTCGATGTTATTGCCATAAAGCGGTACTTCATTTAGTCATGGCTGCTATTTTAAAGGATTTGGATTGATGGCACTGTCGTTAGGATTTCCAACCGTCCTGTCCCCAAAGCAACCGACATAAATGATGAAGTGAGCGTCCCAATTTCAAGCACCGATTTGAATGGCTTTATTTGAGGTTGTCTTGATTGCCTTGATCCCACATCGCTCTCACCAGCTCTTCGATTGCGCCTGCAAATATCGGCTTGATTCCATGCTTGCTCTTCATTTTCATCATGTTCACGATGGATTGGAGTAGTAAAAGGGAATATAGGTGATTCTTCGTCAATGTCTCACCGTTTGCATATTCGGGCTACTTACACTTTAAGGTTGCCCGAGTTGCTAAAGGATTTTGCAGAATTCTTACTGAACCATTTGCAAGTACCATGTTTAAAAGCGCCGTAAGGGAGTGGATTGGGGGCAACTGGCCCGTCATTTAATTCCACTTCTTTCTCCCCTCTTTTTTGTAGTGATAACAACTTCCCCGGACAATTCTGACGCCCGTTGTGTTACAAGTATTTTTATTCTCGCATTCTTCTCATCTTTACAATTTCTGCGACCGACTATCCCGGCAGAGTTAACTGATATTGTTTACAGTATCAAAAAAGCAAAGTTTTATGATTATGCCATTTCGTCTTTACTTTAAGGCTCCTCATGAGGTGCGCTGTCAACTTGTAATTTGCCAGCAGTGAAGGTGAGTTGTTGCGATGACTCAGTTCACAGAGAGGACTGTGAAGTTGATAATTTTGACTAAGTCAAAAAGGACGGGCAAGTAAGTTCGTGAAAGCTGTTCGTGTAAGTGGCAAACCAGAAAGGATTGCTCACTTCCCATTTTGCTTTTTTTTCGTGGAATGCCTTCCATCTATCATCAAATGTTGTTTGAAGTCAGCACCAATGTGCGATTCCTCAAATCAGGTATGAAGTAGTGTATTCGACGGATTTCACAGCAAATTGAAGGGGAAAAAGACCTCCGCACCCTTTTTACGATCATAATTATGGTAGAAGGCCTTGTTTTTTGAGAAACGGTTTGAAGTGTGTGCGCTGCAGCCGTGGATCGGTTCGGACTGCGCATCTGGTTTTACTCGTTGGTTTTGCTATGGGAGTTTGAAAGATTGACGAATTTATTCCACGCTCAAGGTGTTCTTCGGTGAGATTTCATTAACGGCACTAGAGCGGTGCTTTTATGGACGCATGGATGTGCACGTGTTAGATTTGATGCGGTGGTCTACCTCTTAACTGGGCAGTTAGGCTATTCCCAATTCAACCTACGTAGATGTGCTTAGCCGGAATTGCCAGAGCGCATGTCTGAATTTCCAGAAGTAGGTAATGCAAAATTGGGGCCTTGTGGCAACCGAGCAACATGGAATGTAAATTTGTTTGCTTGCAGTAATTTGCATCCCCTCATCTGCGTCAGCACCTACTAAATAGATTTGGTCGTACCACTTTCTAATTATTATTTGTAATGTTTGTGACTTGGAATAGTTTTTTTCCAACGATAAAAGTCGTTAAGGCTTTTCAGTAGACCTCCAACAAGTGAGGTGTCAATAAAAACCCTCATTGACCCGAGAATGACTCATCTCACAGACCAATCAGTCAGGTAGCAACATGTGAACATTCCGCCCTTTGGGTGGCGGTGGCGAGCCGGTCGGCAATGACAGGTGCCGCCGCCCTGCTTGTCATCGTGCGCTGGCTTCGCTGCAGGTTGTAACTCCACCTTCTGACCACTGTTGACGTCTGTCAAACGTTCCGTAATGTTGTTCTTCTCAGTGGCGCCATCTTCACATCGTAATGCCGTTACTTCTCCTGTGACAATAATAAACCAGAAGTAACTACGGCCCTGAGCATATTTTGCAGCGCTCTCAAGGGGAAATTGGCTACCACATTTGTCCTACCAAACTGACCACTTTCAACTGCGGCTTAGTAGCTGGCAACTGTAACACGTCTTCCAACTCTGAGCATGCTACGCATTTTTCATATTTGTGACTCTGAACTCGAGTGTCACACTTGTGTGACGCTGGTAGCGAACTTGTTGATCATCAGCAATAAAAGCGAGTGACGCCTTCCTATGGCTAGATTGAACAGCTCCTTTATACTTTTGCTGTGAATTGTATAATCAACTCACCTGCTTCTTCTATTGCGAGGTGAAGACCTCCTCAAGATGCAGGATTTACGGTAGTTAAAGGATGCAAAGTAAAGCTTTCTTATGTTTTACACAAGTTCTTTTATGTAAATGCATTTGGCCCGCGTAGCACCCCCTTTTTTTCACTACACCATTGAGGAAAATACACAAATGCTCATTCAAGGCAACAGTTGTCCTCCAAGTAGGCTTTATCTACAAGTTATTTGACTTAAACTTTTTATTTGCTCATTGCCTCAAAATGCATATTTGGCACTCCATCAGGGCGTCATTTTTTGCTAAATTCATTGTTTATCCTCAAAAAAATCGCCCCAGATGGACTCATTTGGCCTCAAATGATTACATTTCTTCACCCCTGGTTGATGTGCTGCTTCAGCCTGCCTGATAAGGCAAGTACTACCAGTCGATCAATAATTCAATGAGCTGCGTGGGAAATCGATCATTGTGTAAACCGAACGTCATCACCGTCACCACTGCCAGATTGGTTACTAAGTAAAACCCGCCATCTTATTCGCGAACTGGAATTCAGGCTTCCACCACAGCTTAAATAGGTGTTCTTGACACTGCATTGACAGGAACACTATCGTGCTAGGTTTTGGCCCACCTGTTGTTGTGTGCTTGTATCTGCGTGCGTTTCTTTTGAAAAAAAAGGGACGGTTCACGCTATTCCCCTTCAACTTGGGGAAAGAGGGCTGGCAAGCCAATAGGCGATCAAGGTAGCTGACGTGGGATGCTATCCCAAGTGAAAGTTGTCCTTATTTCCAATCAACTTAGTCCCTTGGTGCGCAATATTATTCTACTTATGAGATTGTATTTTGGGGCCCGGCTCTGTTTTTTTCAATTCAGATCAACATTAACCCCTCAAAATTTAATTCTACGTCCATTTTTTACAAAGTAGGCGTGTCCATAATTAAAGGAATGAAAATTGAATCAGGAACAGCTAAACGGATGGCTTCATCATCGACATGAAGAACGCTGAATGTGGCTAGAGAAGTCAAATGCATAGCAACACTAAGACAAATCTTCTTAAGTAATAAGGGAAGATAAAGTGACATCTAGGAAAATACCCTCAGATCCTGTTATTCCTAAACCCTACCCGATTAATCACTTTGAACACTAGAGACAATCCTTTGATCAAAGACCATTCCCCATTCCAAAAGCAGAAGTGCTTTTAAAATGATTAAGTATTGCCAGAATCAAATAAAGATTGTGGTAGGCCAACGAGCACCATGCTGTGGCTCTTCACTTTCTTCCTTAGGATGCATTGAGAAATGGGATATAGCTTCCCAGCTCCGGAATGAGAACTGTGCAATACTATACTCTTCATATGGACTACACGAAGCAGAAGAGGAGAGTTCAGAATTCCCATTGTTATGCTACTCCTCCTCAGACCTCGTGATTGAACTTGCGATTGTAAAACGTTGGTGACAACGGAAAAGCCACCTCCAGACGAACCTACAAAGATAAGGACTCGGATTTTTGCCCCTCAAGAACGATGTGGCGGAAGATTTGTAAAGACCTCTCAAAAAAGGCGCATAGCCGTTTCTAAAGTCCCATCAAGGTCGATGGTGGTTTTATTGTTCAAGAGGCTGACGGGCTGTTAAAATTGGAAGGCCGTGGCATTAAGATTGTGGGGGTAACCTTTGAAAATTGAGTAACCTGCACAAACTCCTTTTGTTTAAACAGCCGATTGCTTACTACCAATCTGACCTGCAAGAAGTGGCAAATCTCATTCCATTCCACGGCCTTACAGCTTTCTCTCAAAAAGGCCCTTAATCGGACAATAATGTCACAAACGCTTAGTTTCTCCCTAGAGGGATACGTGGTCGCATATTCAAGTGTGGGTGCGTCGTTTTGTGGGAATTATTCTCGTAATGGCCTCTCCCACATTCGCATCTCCACCTGTTGTAGATCCGATGAGAAATCGGATCTCACCACTTAGTAACCGCGAATCCCTGCTTTTGTATATCGTAAAAAAATGTAGAAATGAATTTCTCATTTACTGAAAATATTGTAGGTGCTTTATAATTACTTGGGCGAAATTGGATTCGAGGTTGTGGTTACATGTATCTACTCTGGCTACTTTAGTTGTGACATCTTCTTAGTTACCAAGAAAACAAAATGTTAATGTTTGCTAAATCCCAAAATGCAAGATGAATTTAAGGCCAAAGTAGCAATAATTTGGGAATAATTTGTTTTTTTAGTGCTCTGCTCCGAGTCTTTTAGAAAGGCCAAAAAGTTTTATTTCTAGGCTTGCATACTTTTGACTTTTCTGAAAAACTTGAAGCGCTTCGAGCTCGTACTGAGCGGATAACAATTCTGATTTTGTTTCAAAATCCAGTTGTCAAAGAATGGTGTTATCTCCCATGGGGGACTGGATTTTCAGAGACTCACTTCAGAAGAGGTGAATCTTCGTCGACTTTAGCCAGTCCCTAATTTCGGGGTCTACAGCATAACCACAAATATAGCGAGATCGGGATTCAACATACCCCCAATACATCGGTTTAGGCAATGCGCCTTTTTTTGTTTTGGTTTTGGCCAAGTGCCTGTACGAAATGCTCCCGGTGTAGAGGAGGGTATGCTCGCTGGCGAAAAACCATTCGGTCCTTAGCACAACCTCTTAAATCAGTTTTTCTACTATGCAATTCGCTTTGCAGTGGATGCCATGTTCAGAACTCCTAACTAAATCTACTGCATGTACCCCCTTTAATAGGGGATATTTTCCCCGTGATATAAATTCATCACATAATCTATTTCTATCTCCCAGTCGATAGCGATTCGGATTACTGTGGAAACGGAGGAGTTACCTCAGAGCAATGACGAAAACGCTTTACTTGTGTATAGTTAACTTAGCGAGCTCTTGCTCCAAGACTTCCTTCCTTGAACCTGATGTTACAAATATGTGACTTACCTCCCTTACCAGGTGTGCTGCAGATGAGGTAGTTGGGTTTAAGGCAATAGAGGTAAGTGTAGGATATTTGTAATGTGAATGCATTTACATTCTTGTTTCGGTAAAGCAAATGTTCCTGTTATATCAGAACATTAAATTATTTGGGTTTTCCTGATCGGCTTTCCTCTGATACCCTGTTAGCGTTCCAGTAACAGTCAATCTGCTCCTTTCAAACGTCTGGTTTTCATAGTCTATCACTGCTTAAAGATGGACGGTATTGAGGGTACTTCCTTTTTTTCACAACAAATGCAACCAGCACTTGTTTTCCTATTCTATCGAGTAATTTTTTTATAATATACTTTTCACCTGCGCAATACCTACTAAGCATATATGTAGCTTCCCGATATTTCCCCGAATACGAAAGTAGGCATAATACTCTGGCAGAATGCGTATTCTCGTCGTGTAGTAGGCCTTGAGGCTACTGGCATAGACCTGAGGCCCAGTCACCTAGCGAAGGTACTATGACGGAGCACCTAAGTGACCCCTTTACCACAACCGAGATTTAAACTCTCAACGAAATGTTTTTTTTCTTATTTTGGAAAAGCTTAAATAAGATTAAGGTGAATGTTTGCATCGTAATCGGCCCCTTGATTAACACCAATGCATCAAACATGCACTTTAATCCCATATCCTCAAAAAGTCAAACTTTGAGTCCATTAATTACTTCCTTTACCATATCCACATTTGCATTAACTTACTTTTCCCTGTGGTGTGATTGAAATACAGCCTCCTCAAAGTGTATTTCACTAAAATTTCTTTCCGTCCACGACAAGTTTGCAGGCTATACTGGTAGCAGTCAACAGTATCGCCCTGACCTCCAGCCCACACAACAATGATGGCTACTTTTTCGGTGGCATAGTTGGGAGAGAGGAAGAGAGTCGGGGGTTTTTGCTGTCAAATCCACCTTGCTTGATACCATCATGCTGGGTTTAAACTTTAGCCTGCCTGACTGATTGACCAAATGTCAAGTCTCTTATCTGTGCGGAAACACGATAGATAAATAGACGGGATGAATCTGCATAAATAAAAAGGAAGGAATAAGAATCACTGGCCCACGCAAACGGCATTTATTGCCCATTGGGTCTCCCAATTTTGCGATGCGAGTTCTCCTTCTCCTATCAAGTCGTTTGAATGCAATTTGCAATTAATGAATGCTTAAAATGAGAAAATAGAAGGGAAAATGAGTGTTGCGTTCTGGCCCTCACTATTCAGCCAATTTTGCTGAGGTTGAAATACGTAAAACAATTAGAATACAGGTTTACAACCACTATCACCGCTGCATTCGCTACCATCATCATCGCCGTCGCCATGTGGTGTTTCATGTATTCATAATTGACATTTTTAACACATTTTTGTTGCTATTTCTATTTAAATTTCTTACTAAATAACTGACGTGAAGCTATCGAATAGTCCGTCTATCGTTTGTGTTATTAGTGGCGCAATTTAGCATTTGCCATGCTTAGCACAAAGAGTTGGAAGTCGAGGGGCCTGCACAGTAGGTAATGAAATTGACTGCGGCTTTCGTTATGGAGTGGTAGGTGTCATGTGACATCCACTTTCACTCTTGAGTGCGTAACAATCAATTTCACTGTTGAAGAATACGTGTTATTGTCGTAAAGAGTGGCTAGAAGGCCTACAAGCTAGCCCTGTTTAATTGTCAACTAAAATAAGCATCGCTCTGTTAAAAAACGCCCCTCCACCCTGTCGCCGCCTTTTATCACATTTCGGCGTCCTTCTCTTGGTGCCTTCAAAACAACTCCGGAACCAGGAGTGGACATACGGGATCGGTGTCGACAATGCATTTCGTTGATTTTATGGAGTTACAAATGTTCCTTCGTAGCGAACCGTGTCGTGGAAGTCCACAGACTGTATACTGCTCAAGGCTCTGCAATGCTCCATTGCCTGCGGTTCATTTGCCCAACGCAATTTTTAAGAGCGTTTGTCTAAACGAAAAGGATTTTACTGAGACAGAATTTAAGGTAACTTTGTGCTATTGACATTCTCTTTTTGTAGTAGGGGAGAGTTCCTTTGTAAAATTCACGCATCTTCGCCTGACTAAAGCAGGTAGCCCCATAGTAGTTGCTTCGAATCGCTCAAGTCTGGTCCACCTGATAACTACCTTAACATAGAACTTGAGAGTAAACTAGCTGATCGTCAAAAACAGACCTGACTTCAAGCAATCTGCCGTTGTTTCTCCACTGCACAGACTTCCTTCTGTGGCATTTAGATTTGGTACTCGATTTCGGAAATTCCCTCCCCCTGGACCGAATTTGCTTACCGATGCTAACTATGTGGCCTCCGGAATTATTCCTGGGACTGCAGTCGTCCAAATAATTGCTGAAAAAGTTATCGCTAAAGTACAGAAAGTTTTGCTGCTTGGGGCGCTATTTGACGTCGGTGTCACCGAGCTAGTGGCAGAGGCGTCAGGCACTGAGACAGTCAAATAGATAAGTCTATACTTAAGGATCTTTTACTACAAAGAAACAAGATTTAGAAATCTGTAAGCGAAACACAAAAGTCAAAATCTGCACTGTTGCAAAGGCCACTGGTAGGCTCTGTGTTTGTATTCAGGAAGAGATGCTAAGATCTAGTATTTAAATATCCGGAATAGCAGGGATTTAAAGAAAGCAATGATGCCAATTTGAGCGTTTATTTTTTGAAATAAAATCGACATAAAAGTGCAAAATTAAGTTAAAATAAAACCTAGCTACGCGTTTCTTATCTGTGCTATTTAGTTTGCCAGTCTCAATGGGCACTTTGATTGGGGTTTAATGAGGTGGAAAACTTCTTCAACCGCAATGATTCGATACAAGCAGCAGTGAATACTGATTTACCAGCAGTAAATGGTCAATTATACTTATTATCAATTAATGGTAATGTTGAGAATTCAAAACCTGATCGGAATTTTCGGTTGTTGCGAAGCCCAAAATGGTAACCACCAATCTTTTATACAAATGTAATATTTTGGGCATTAAGTTAAAAATGAAAAATCATCAAAAACCGAGGCCATTAAAATTTTTTAACACAATTCTGCAAGTCTGTTTCTTTGAGGCAAAGCATTTAATACCTCGCACAGGCAAATACCTTCGACATTTTAAAATCTTCTTCATATTTGTAAGTTTTGCAAAGTTCCTTATTGTTACAAGCTATCACTCAACATTACTTATTCTCTCGTTAGAATGGGCGTAAGAGTACTGCTGCGTTGAAGGCTTTCCACAGAATCACTTTCAACTGCTTGGACCATCCAGGCTTTATCGGTGATAGCTGAATTAGGGATGCTTTGTGATTATCTTTTTGAGTGAGGATTGTTTACTCTTTACGTGCTAAGTATCCTGTACTCTTGTACTAACCAAACACGAACGCTAGTTTCTGGAAATTTATTCCTGGTTGGAAATTGACCCTTAAAGAGCACAAGGAGGCAATGATGTTGCATTAAAATTAGCATTTTCCGGAGCTTGTCCAAATATTGCATAAGTTACACGAGGTATACCTTAGAAAAGAGTCCAAAAATTTTTAGGATGCATTTTTCCTGCTGCTACACAGGTTGATTTAACACGTCTGCCACCAGCTTCACAAATTCGGCGCAAGCATACTTTCCTGTTTTCAATGGACAACTACTTGCACCAACTCGCACAACACCAACGGATTGTTTAAGCTTGAAACAGCCAATTAGATGTAGGGTGTTTTGTTTAAGAACACTTACATATTTCCAGCTTTTAAAGGCCACTCGTTCCTTCAAGAGCCCGAAAGCGAGTACGTTAAAAAAACATCGTTATCCGCTAAATTTCACCGTGTTGGTTACCCACTTTTCCGTTACCTCACGCCTACATTTCCGGTAGTTAAGCTACTTTGCGATGGGATAACAAGAATTTGTCTATTGCGGTTTCGAAACCCCATTATTCTGCAGCACGGGAACGCGGGCTTGTGTAGTCGCAGTAACATAAACGTCCACGTTGACATAAATTGTACAAAGTGAAGGCGATTAAAACTACGTTACAGAGGAAACAATGTTGCTGCTGGGTAGAGGAGATAATTTGCGGTTATTTTGGATAAAGCGAAGCCACTGTTTTTTTTTATGTTGCTAGAACTATAGCCCCATTTAAGGGATCGTAAAGTGGATGTAACTGAATATAAATTAATTACAAATGGTGCTAAATTGGGCCGATTATGATGCTAAAATCCAACGACATGAAACCATTAGTTTGCAAAAAACAAGTTGTTGGAAGGTTTGTACGAAAAGAATGGCACAGAGGTTCACGGATATCACCTTCCAATGGAATAAAATTTGACGGGAAACGAGTGCGACAATCAAACGTTCATTTAGACTAAAGTGTTCCCCCTTTCGCATGACTTAATTTCACCATGGATACATTAAATGTGGCTCCGTTAAGCCTCATATAATACATCAATCGTTCGTTTAATACACGGTTTTGGTAGTGAACTACTTAGGAGCTACTGCACTATATCTCTGTCGGGCTGCCTGGCCTCTGGGCTACACTAGTAGCCCTTAAGTCCTCCTCTACGTCGAAAATGCACATTCTCCCCCAGTATTGCATCTTCTTTCACCTTCAGGGAAGTCTTGAGACGCTACCGTTTTGTTATGCTATAACACTAAAGTCTGACGGATATTTTAATTACCTAAGATTCTAAAATTAAATTCAATTTACCTCCTGATTTTTCCAAAACATCAAAAAAACTTTACCACCTCACAGAGACATCTGTTTAGTGATCTCAAAAGTGAGGCAATTCGATGAGTTTATAAAAAGCGATTTCACTTCTCTTTAAGAATCCACTTTGCGTGGACAATAGGTGGTAAACAGATAACCGACTCTATCAACCAAACTCAACACTCAACTTTGATAAATGAACTGAGAAGCAAAAGTTGACAGTCTGATTTCTACGAGTGCTGGTCATGTCGCTGATGTACATGTTGAGGGAGCGGAAATAAGAGCAGTGTAAGCCGAGCCATTTCCGTTTTCTACGGCATTGCTGTTATAATGTTATCGTAAGACCTAGAGACTTTCCTGAAAACCAAAGGACACTTAATACTAGGGCAAACAGCATGAATTTGGGCTACTGGTATGGTCTTGAGGGCCAGGCTACCCGGAGAAGGCACAATATCGGAACCCCAAAGTGACTCACCGCCAAAAGCGAAAGTTAAACAAACAGACGTTGTTTCACTATTTCTCTTTTTTGTTGTAATGCCATGATTTCGAATCACCATGTGATGGTGATTTTAATGACTCTCTAATTCAACTTGAATAATCTTTGGTGCGATTGGGTGTTCGGTAATCAGTGTGCATTATCCACCACTTGAGGCCCTGATTTCTTCGTTTTACTGTCGGTAAGGCTCTCCACCAGATGGATAAATAAGTGATTGAAAAAGGATGCTAAGCGTCAGAGCTTGGAGGCTTTTACTCATCATTTACCACAACCTACGGTTTTAATGATGAAATTGTGGATTTGCACAATTCGACTGGACTTGTTCAACAACGTGAAACGTCCGGAAAACCATTTTTATACTTCTTTTAAATGGTCTGCTCGGATGTGCAACCTTGTAAGTGCAATGTAAATGAAAGACAATTTGACAGCGACATCTCTATCAATTTTATTTTGGAATTCCTAAATCTGACACTCTCATTAAATGTCCAAATACCGAAATAAAAATGCACTCTTTATAGGAAAAAACTTCCCACAATCCAAGACAAATGGGGTTTATGTATTTTGTCCCACAAATTGTCAACATTTTTGGTATTATTTTCATTTAAAGATGGACGTTTTTAGCACAATTGATCTTCTGGTTAATGTGTTATTTTTGCTCGCTGAGCATCGTTCATGATTGCAACTGAATATAAAAATACTTTTGATGATTTTTTTATTTACCATAGGAATTCGCTAACGACTTAAGCGAAAAAGGGAAATTTAAACAGCCGACTAATCCTAAATTATTGTACTTTACTGTATGATTTCACAGGCACAAAGTTGCAGCGTTTGGTACGCAGACCCCAAGGTGGATATATCAAACTAATTATAGTGTAGTTTAAAACAATTTAAACAACTGACTTAACTCATGATGTTTACCTGTCGTAGAGAAAATACAATCACTGAAAAATTTCCTAGCAAGAAGTGACAGCACAGAGGAATGAGAGAGAGAGAGAGAGAGAAAGGGGGAGACTGGAATATGGGGAGCAAAAAAGCAGAAGTGAGGGCAGCACGGGTGATGGGCATGGCAACCACATGTGACGGATAGGCGGACGACGACAGATGCCATTAGCACCCGCGAGGTGAGGTGAACGTGCGACGGCCCTATTGGCTGCTCGGTGGGGGCGTTTCATCGGCGGATCGATAAGGAACGCAAAACCGCGGTGATACCGACGCACCGCCCATTTGTTCTGTACAATTGCAGCTTCGAAGGATCCACCCATTTAAAAGTGAACATTAACTTTTCTTACTGCTACTAATTGCCCGAGGCAGAAGAATGTCCTGTACATTAATATTTCCAGTTGCAGTAAATAATCTCTCTCGCTTGATGCCAACACTTGGCGTTATGGAGAAAAACTCACATTTCTTATCCTTTAAGGCGGTGGTAGTTAGTGTCTGCCACCATGTGATGCCTTATAAGCAAGTCTTCTTCAGGCGCTACCCTTCGTCTTTTCCATTACTACCTTTGACTGCAACAGGTGATGTATGGGTTAAATGCGGTGCTTTCACATACCTTCAAATGAAGGCGATGGACTCCTTCATATATTTTACCATCCAAATACTTTCATTAAGTGAAGTGCTTTAAAAGCCTGTAGAAAAGAAGTAATTTAATTCTCAATGGCCTTTGGTTTAATGGTCTGCGAATGGCGGCGGCATCTGGTGGGACTTGAAAAGATGCTCACTCGCTCACGACCATAGGAAATGAAGAGAACGAGGCAAAAAAGACTTCTCATCAGCACTTCCCTTCCACTACTTCGAAATACATGGGATGTATAAAATTTGCTTTTTGAGTGAAATTGTTTACTTATTTAGCATCTGATTTCACAAAGCCTGTGACTTGGGTAATGGGGATGTTTGACAGTTAATTGCTGTAGTTATGCAAAATTGCACATCTTAATGTACGAATGCATAAATCTTCAGTAGGGGCACAGTCGAACTCCCTCATGAATGATTAATCTCGGACAAATGAGATACCCTTATTATCAATCGAAATTGGAAAAATCTGTAGTTTAACGTCGCTTTGAGACCCAAGAGACACACTAGCAGCGATTTAAAAGTGCATTGATAATTTATTGAATACAATATTATTTTATAAGACATAATAATTAACGTAAATTTCTGGCCATCCTTTGACAGCAATTTATGTGTAGGAATTGCTGGAGCGTCTAGACACCCGCAGAGGAATCTATATGACCTGTCAATCCAGATAAAAACCCACTATGAGTGTAACCCCTTGAGACTTCCCTAAAGATGAAAGAAGACACAATGCTCTTGCAAATTATGTTTTGTCGACACATAGAAGGTCTTGGAGCTACTAATACGACCCAGCAGTCAGACAGCCCGGCAGAGCTACCAGGGCGGAGTTCCTAAGTAGCCCGTTACTGAAACCGAGAGTTAAGCAAACAGTTAAAGAACTGCATAAATGTAGAGAAGGAAGCGTGGTTAAATGGCAGAAATTAACTGACAAAATACGGTGTCTCCAGGATCTTGACCAAAACGCAGGGCGACTAAATAACTCACCTAAACATAGGTACAACCTGAGCTGGCACTCTCCTCTTAGAATGCACCAGCACATGGATAGTACTTCTGTGGAAGGTAGTTATTCTAGCTTGATTTGGTCTATTCTACTGCTAAATTAACTCTTTAAGCGCTCAAAATCCAAATTGCTAGGGAATAGAGTACGATTGCTAGCCTAGATACGAATCCATTTCGGCTAGATTCCGATGTAGTTGGGGATGCGTTGTGATGGGAGAGGCAACGTGCTCTCAAGAAAGCATGACATACATTTGTAGCGAAAAATATCCCCATAGGCTGCATTTAACATCTCGGTGTCGTATTCTATGGCAGGTGTTATAGACACACTGGAAATTTACAAAGTTATTTTAGCTTATCAGATTCCTCTTTTAACTCTCCCCCTTTGGCCTTCAAACCCTTTAAATAAGCCGACATATTTAATAAGGACATGTTTTTTGATAATGGCAAACGGGGTGGAGAGGTCAGGGGAGCATGTTTTCACCTCTAGTCTAGATCAGGAATTCTGGCCACACCTCCGCTACCAGATTTGTGCCCACGGAACGCTCCTCACCCAAAAGGAACATTTAAACAACACACGTATTACAATAGAATCAGTTTCAAAGAGCATAAAAACATTTTGATGCACACGGTGGAAGAGGAGGCACCAAATTTGCTCTAGTTTGCTATTCGTTCTGGTTCTATGTGCTTTGCAGTGCCGAAGAATATGAAGCTGCCTTGAAAGTGGCAATGAGCTAGTACTGGAAACAAAACATTGTCAACTGAGCGATATAGTTCTTCTGGAAAAATGTGAAGCTAATAATTAGTGCTCATTTAATGCTTCGTATCAGGCACGAACCTCTTGTTGTGCATAAGCCTCAGAGCAACTCGGGCAAGATAATGCACTACTTTAGTTGTTTGTTTAACTCTTCGTCTTAGTTTCGTGGGCACTTGAGCTTCCGCCTTTGTACCCTTGCTGAGTGGCACGGTCTCTGAGAGATCTCGGGGCACTACAATACACGTCTAATGAAATATGCGGATTAAATACGATTTCCTCTAACTTGAAATGTGTTTGAAGGAGATTAGCCCCACAAATGTGTTACCTGATTCGAAACGGACCAATTAGTGTTAAAACGATGAAGCATGCATTAAATGTTCTTGGTTCAAGGATGGTTACATTAACTTTTTAGAAGGTCACAGCCACTTTCAGCAAAGTAGCTGTGGCAGTTGGTGTCATGTTGGGAGCTTTAAATCACCTACACTTTGATGTTTGATTACCTTTGGTGACCCTGGCAGCCAGTGCACCTAATTATAAGGTTGAACTAATGTAAGATGAACCACTTTAAGCTAAAATTATGCTCTCCGCATGGCATGATATATTTGATTCGCATTATCTTAAAGCAATCACTTATATCCTAACCTGGATTCACTAAAAGTAAAAATGGAGTCTTCAAAAGTAGAAATCAACAAAGAGAGAATTTCTAAATGCGCAAATCCATCTTCATGAATAACCAGGAAGGAAAGTACACGATACTTTGTGACATTCTTTGAATGACCCAGAACAGATTTCTTGACCTTATCCACTGTGCCTTAATTTTTCCTTGGAAAATAAAATGGAATTCTAACTCATTCCACTGCTCCCAGTCGTCCTAATTACACTAAAATTAGTGAATATCAAAGTGTTTGATTATCCTTAAACAATTTCTGTGAAGCACTCAGAGTCTACAATGACAATGGTGTGAATTTCTCATGGACGTCATTCTCAACCACTAAAAGAGCCAAAACGAACTCTTTCTCAATTTAATTTACACTACATCCACCAAATTTAATGTTATTTACAAAGTTGAGGAGAATAAAGCGAATCATGCCAAATATTTATGGATATTTGCAATCTCCACGGAATACTAATATTGATAGGACCCTACCTACTCTTTCCGAAAAAGCTGTTATGACCGAGGCTTTTATTCGAGTGATTTACAATATTTCTCAAAATTCACTACTCGCTGTGTGTTCGGAGACACTTTTTAAAAAAAAATATCTCTTGCAAGTAATTATTATCAACTGGCTGATCAGCAATGAGTAGAACGAGAATTTCAGCCAAGAAACATTTGGCAACCCCAGTGTTCTCGGTGTCATGGCCACTGCAACAAAACAATGCGCCTATAAATAGAGTGCGCGGATGGTAAACATTCGGACTGTGTATGCTGAAACGAAGATGTGTCCGAATGAAAAAAAATGGACATAAGGAGCACACACACTCTCTTTCCGCAGGTTTGCACCTGGCACAAATGATTCATGCCTCCATCTCTCCTATGTACATGGGTTGACGTGAATTCGGTCGGAAACTCCTCCCTTTCCCACCTTATCCGTCCTCCCAATTTCATTCCTTTCAACTAACAACTATTAACGAGTCTCCGCCCGCATGTCTACTGTGTGTGGGACGCCGATTTTAAGCAAGGATGATATCTTGATCCCTGTGGCTTTACTTACTGTCATGCAGTCAAATTTGAAATGAATACTCTCGATTCCGTTGACAAAAAAAGAGCGGTGAAGGAAATCAAAGTCGGCATTGCAAATATTAGTCAATTAGTTGCGTTTGCCTTTGAACGCATTGGCGTCAGCGGTAGAGATGAGAGCCGCCTGGAGGAAGTGACAGTTGCCTGTTTATGCACGCTTTAGTGAGTTTGCCGCAATGAGTAGTGGCTGGGTAGAAGAATGAATGGGTGGACGTGTGCATGAATGAACATGGTATGCATAGATGTACCTCATTGGTGGATGGATGGATGTGTAAGTAGGTAGTATTGCTTCCAAGTCTAGGTCTTACAGTTGCTTGTGTTGCAAAGACTGATTGGTCGTTGCTAAATCCTACCCTCTAGTGTTCACTCCAATGCTTTTTACTCCTGCATTTTGTTCTAGTGATTGACATTTATAACTACTTAGCTTGATTTTATGTCTTGACACTAAAATGAATTACCAGCCTGCCACAGAATTGCAGAATTGCACTTAATACTTTAATTGGGCACGACCACGCACACCTTAAGGGTCTGCCATGATCTGACCTTCATGCTGATATTCTTCTAGCCTTTCAACGATTCAGGAATGACTGGCGAACTACAGTAGTGATGATCATGGAATCCATGCCTCAAGAGTAGCAGGCTCGGTGGCCGAATGGTGTGCAGAAACGTCACAGAATGAAGGCATCTACTGTGGATGGCTGAGTTTGTCAATACTCACACCAGAAGGCCCTCTAAGCCGCATCAGCTCTTGGAGACCCTCCCAAGTTTCAGTTTTGTCCATTGGCTAATAATACGACAAGACCAGATTCAATAAAAGTGGGAGCATTCCATAAGGAACTGTCATGGCGCTCCTTTCTCACGTTCTTTCGGATAATCATTCCTAGTAAAAGAGAACACTAATACCATTTCCTGGATGAATTCCCCTCCCCTCCAATGCAGTTTATCAATCAGAGGACCTGACAGTCATGAATCCCAACTGAAATACATACCATGCGTCAACATTATCGAAATGGTTTGCAGTCTTCCTCTAATGCAAATTTGTCCTTAAAGTTCTATTCCCATCTCACGAGAAGACTAGTGATAGCTATAGCCTGTGAGTGACCTCAGGAACTGTAAGGACAACGCTCAAAAGGTGAAGGATCAATGAAGTAAAACAATGTTTACTTAACCGCTTGGACACTTAAATGTCTGCCTTTTGGATACTGTCCTGAAATCTGGTTCACTGAGCCTCCAGTACGTAAGTGCTAATCCTCGTAAGCCTTATTTCGGCATCAGGAATAGCTCAAAACGTTAAAGCTACTCAAACAGTATGAAAAGCAATTAGCTAGCGTAAATAAAACGCTCAGACTGGGATACTTGTGTTTACTGTAGCCTCCTGTGTTTCTGCAAATCGCGTGCTTCTCATTCATCCCCCGCTTAGCGCATATCCACCCGCCACGCCTCCAGCTCCTCCCCAAAGCCCCTAACTGGAAAGCTGTGCTGATAGCAAGGAACACCTGAAAGCGGTTCCTTTAATCTCCTTTTCATATCTTTCCCTTCCAATCCACCCGCTAGACGCCTAAAAGAAGCCTGTGAGCTTTTTGCCTGAAAACTTATGCGTTTGCGCACACTTTGAAGTTCTGGAGGGTTGAATTTTACCATTTGCAACTTTGACTCTGCCTCGATTTTGCACTTTGCTGACAAACGTGCAAACAAATTTCCAAAAGGAGGGTTGCGAAGGCTTTTTTTGTACCAATAGAATTTGGATACAATCGAAGTGGATCAGCGAAAACAGTTGATTAAATTTGATATTTCTGCCTTCGATGTTGCAATCTTTAAAAAAATAGGGCAACCGGGAAAAGAAGTTGGTAATTGTGCACTAAATGAGGATTGAACGAGGAAGCATTGATGTGTTCGAGGCATCCCTACAAACGTAACAATACCCGTGGGTCTGGAAGCAGGCCTGTAATCAGCAAGCTGAAGGCCTCCGAAAATGTTAACATCGATGGCATGAATGGAACCCCATCACTCTAGGTCGGTGGTTGGGGACTGAGAAGCCCATGCATTTCATTTTGTGACCCAAGCAACTATCCGTCTGTAACAAAATATCCTACCTTTGATTCTGCATTGACAATAACAGGAAGCAGGTACATGAATTGGATGGAGTGCAGCGCCAGAGTTATCCCTTCTTCCCAGTATAGTTAGAGTCAGAGTTGTTCACAGCTCTTTGTAACGATGAAGATACTACAATCCCCTGGAATAGTTTTATTTTAAAGTCTTTTTATGGACTACTTTGATTCTTCCATATCTGCTTTTATTCTGTGCCAAACTTGAGTTTGGAGTATTTGGTGAGTATTGAAAAAGTATGGTAGGCCCTCTCTTCTGTTTTATCTGGTTCATTCAGCAAAATTGGCAACGCGTTTATCCGTATCGGGTTCGCTTGCCACTGTCGGATCACTCCTGAAGACTTCAGCAAGACGCACCGGTGTGAAAAAATGCTTCGTTCGAACATAAAGAAGGGCTGAAATGATGAGGTCCGGACGTAATACCATGATACCAAGATGGATACTAAAGAACCAGCTTATTTTAATATCAATTCAAGTCAAATGACGTTTTCCTAAAACAAAAAGCCTTTTAAAGTTTACGTTACTGTGAGGCTGCAGTCTAGAGAATAAGTTAACCCACCTAATTTTCGGTAATGGTGTGACAGAATTTTAGTTACAAGTGTCCACTCCGCCCATTGTGCGACTGCCATGGCTAGCATTTGTGGTCAAGGCTGAAAAATGTGAGATTATATCTTCAGAGGTTTTAATTACCCTTTGTGGACGTTTAGATGCGCAAAACTTTGTCCCAAAACAGCCAAAACAGTCTAATTGATCGCTGAAAACATTTCCAACAGCAATTTTGTCTCACAAAACACTCAATTCAATTGAGGGCGTTGCTATCTATTATTTTACCATCCTCTTGAGATGTATTGTAGAACTTTAGTAATTTATTTAACTCATGGTTCTGGTAACGGGTCATGTAGGGACTCCGTCATTGTACCTCCACTGGGCGGCTTAGCCTCCATACCATACCGGTATCTGCAAGCTCCACTGTGTGCAAAATATACGATTATTCTGTCCGAGCACTATGTCTCCTTTCGGCTTTAGAAAAGTATTGAGCCCTACATTAGTGGCGATTTTAAACGGCAGCTATCCTGACTTCTACGGCTGAGTGGTAAACCTTATTGTGATGAAAAAAGGCATGCAATGCGAATGGAAGAATCTGGGACGACTACTAACAGAAGGTCTGTAAAAGACGCCCACCTTCGGAAACTACCCCAACCCCGTGTCCAGCAGGGGTACTATTAACAACCGAAACGACTCTAGTCGTGAATCCCCTGGAAAAGTTCGTTACCGAGCTGTCTACGGTGCCTAGATGAAGATATCAATGAAGTGAACACGCGATGCCTCCTCCGTCGCTCTACTGGCTTAATACAATCCGAATAGGTAAATGTGTGGGCGGCTCTGAAGTGAGAACAACGTAGCAAAGAAGAATGGACGTGAAACATTATCCCCACAAAACCATTTTATACCCCCTCCTTTATTAAGCGATTTTGCATTGGGGACAGCGTGCATACGACTGGCGATGGACATATGAGGTTGTCAGCACATTTCTCCCTTCCCTCAAATAGAGTTCCAGAAGATGACGAAACATCAGCTGCAGCGGAATTACCAAGAGGGAACAGTGACTTTGCGGTCATGTATCCTCGCGGTTGCACGCAAATTCCATGACTGGCGGAGTGTATTTTTTACAGCATCGACCGCGTTGTGACAGGCGACTTGGGAGTTTAACAGAGAGAGCCATCGAGAACGACGTCTAAAAGAGAGGGGCTACGTAAAAGGTCACTTAGGGGCCTCGTCATTGTACCTTCTCTGGGTTAACTGACCTCCGACCATGCCAGTGGACTTAATGACCTTCTTTACCTCGGTAATACATACTGTGCTTAGGTAGCAAGTCTTCGTTGTCTTCAGAAGAGTTTCAGAGAGCTACAACATTTCTTTTACTTTAAAGACCCTGATATCAAGGGTTATACCAATTTCGAAACCCATTTAACAACAAAACGCAACCTGAGTTGCCTAATTTAGGGTCGCCTGATTTACTTCACCTAAAAATTTTGTCATTAACTTTTATAAATTGCGAAATTTGCGACCTGAGATATGAGACTGAATGGCATTTTATGCACCGAAATTTTTAATTTCTCTTTAGAAGGAGTCACTGAATAAGGGATGGAACCTGCTGTGAAGGCCTTCTGACACACGCGCTTCCAACGTGACTTTTGTATGGCGCCTCAAGTTTCTTTCCTGAGTCCGTACTTCACAAATACGTGACAAATATAATCAAAAGGAAAAAGAAAACAAAGTCAAACTGGTGCCATATCCGAACAGCAAAATATCTGGGCTGTGGAAGCCGATTAGCGGCTTCCTACACCGTGGTAGCGGACGTGTTAAACTCTTCCACATTTTTTAAAGACATAGCTCTGGTGATCCCACTGCCTATAGTTCCGGTTACGGACATTCTGACAGGCTTTTGATAATGACTTTTCGCAGGAAAGTGTGCCATGCAACAATAGGTTAATATAAATCCAACTTTGTGCGTGATTTGCCACAACTCCCTCTTTTTGTCTTTCCGGTGGTATGATACGTGTGGTCGATGGAATTTTTTCAAACCTACGAAGCGAAGATGGTTGCGTTGGTAAATGTCATGGAGGAAAATGATGTGTGCACGAGGTATTCTTGCCCCTGTTTAAGGCGTTAATCGCCAAAAGCGCAAATATTTTGCACCATCTCGAAGGATTAAAACAAGACCATTTCCTAGTCTTATTTGGCCTTCAGTGGATGCCCAGTTTCCGAGTAGGTTAATTAGGGATTTGTCACGGGTAATTAAGGAATTTACTTTCACAATTAATAGGCCTATAAATTAGATCCAAGTATGCTCACGTTTTTTGATTCTTGAGTTACAGAAGGGCATTGGCTCTACTTGAGGTGGAGCAAATGAGGATGTCGTATTAAAAGAATAAGGCATCTGGTCTGTGATAGTAAATTTTCTTCTGAGATCCTGGCAAACTCTGTTTTAGGGAGTTGTTTTTCGGATGGGAAGAGGTGGGGCCTCTGGGAGCAGACCGCGATCCTCTCGATCGGCAGTAGAATGCTCTACTTCCTCAACGACCCTCCAAAGCGGCTGCGGAACGCGATTAGTAGTTTGAGAAATCCACTGCCATTGTTTTGACGTTTTAAGGAGTTGCTATATCACATTCTAAAAGGTACTAAAATGATACATTTGTAAGAACGTTTACAGCATCTGCTGTGGAAAGCAATAACGCGTGTCGTGGCACCTGGGCGGGTCGGCGGTGAATGGATACTTGGGGATTCGCCTCACATTCCTGCCACAAGGGCTATTTTTGTTTTGTCAAGTGTGTGCGTGTGAACAGAAATAGCGTTGTAGTGAAATGCCGCTTGACTAAACCCACCTTTACCTGTAGGTCATAGTGACTCTCGTTTACAGGGTGCTACGGTTGTCGCAGATATGGAGGCACTGGAATGGGAATAGATGATCAGCAAGGTCTCCCGAAAGAGGTCTTTTTATGGCTTGTTTACTTATCAATAAATATTAAATCAGTTCTTCTTTCCAGAACACCATAGCTCCATTATTTAAATAATTAGTGCGAGAACCCGGCCTTTCAGGACTATTAGCCCCAAAAGAAAAGGGGAGGGAGAGATGGGAAAAAAATTGAAATTGTGATGTGCCTTTCATAAACCTGATGCAATGTACACTTCTAAGGGCTTATGCAACAAAATAATAAGTCCTGTGATCTTTGATTTGGGTCTCTGTTAGATTTGAGTCTAAAAAGAAGACTTATTATTGCAGTATCTCTACTTATCAATCGCCTCACCCGCTCTACGGCACTCTCCATATCATCAGAAGTTCAAAATTGTGATTTTGCTGAGACTGTACAACGTTATTTTTGTTCTTGAACCTCGGTTTTGGTAACGAACCACTGAGGTGCTCCGCCTGGCCCCCATATGCCTACAATATATATTCTGTCTAGGCATAATGTCTCATTTTGTCTTCGGGAAAGTCTTGGCACCGAAAAGCAAACCTGATCATAAAGGGCAATCATTCCAATTTCTACTGCTGAGTGATAAACCTTAGCCTGGCAGATGAAGTATATATTATGTGGAGGCGAAACTATTTGGCGAATCCCAAAAGAAGCGTTGAAAAGACGTCCACTTTCAGCAAATACCTTAGTCCCATTGCCAGCAAGAATGCTATTAACAACCGAGGCGTCACAAGCCGTGGCCGTGAACCATCTAGAAAGGTACCCGTGTGAAGATGTCGATTCGGTGAACACGCGATGCCTCCCTCACATCTCTCCTAGGTGAATAGATCCCAGATGGAAACTGAAACCCCACTCCAGCAAAACGGCTTTGAATCCGGTCCTTTATTAAATACCTGCTTCTAGGCCAATATTCTTACAGCTGGCCACGGACAGCCTTGATGATCAGCACATTTTGCCTTCCCCAATACAGTTCCCAACCAGGACGCACTTGTAGATGTAGTAGAATTGCCAAGAGGAATCAATGACGCTGCAGCCACATTTTTCTCAATTGTACACAAATTCTATGATTGGCACGGTTGACACCTGAGTGCTTTTCCTTGCCACACCGACTACCATGTGGTAAGAGCACCATAACTCTTGATTTTGGTAATGGGCCATTGAGGTGCTCCGTCACTGTACCTCCGGGTCATAGCAGTAGTCCCAAGCCCTTCTCTAGGTTGACAGTCCACATTCTGCTCCAGTATTATGCCTTCTTTCGTCTTCAGGCAAGCCTCGGATACCATGAACATCCATAAACTATTTGCTGCTCTAAACTTACCTATTCACTGCTCCCAGTTATCTAACATATATTGGTAGGTAACGCACATTACGTGGCTGCAGACTGGCGTGATATCGGTGTATTTACCCCGTAGGGATCACGTGATAAAACGGCCCATTCAAATGCTCTTTAGTGTGGTTTTGTTTGATTAACACCGGTCAACACCATTCAACATGCTGTTGACATTACCTTTTCAACGGACCTACCTTCCCATTCAAAAATAAATTACCGCAGATTACCACTTTCCCATGAAATTGTACTGTTTAACCCAACTTGGTTGGTTTGTTTAGCTTAAGCCCCTGTGAAATGCAACACCTAAATATTTACCTTCGCAACTAATCAGCAGGTAGGTGTTTCCCAAAGACAAATTAAACTACGCATTAAGACCTGCGAAAGGCCTCAGTACCGATGACGGTAAGAGCTAAGTCGTCTTTGTTTCCCTTCTTTAAAGTCCAAATCTTCACACAGTGATTGTTCCGTTTGTTCACCGTCATTTAATCGGCTAAAAACCCGTGATATCTTCTACTATAACCAAAAATCACACTGGCATTACTTCGAGAAGAGTTTGCTTGATTCACATTTTTGATAGGGGCGTGAATTAGGCAGAAAAAGAGGGAGGAAAAGGGAGCGAAAGGAGGAGTAGGGCGCGCATACACCCGATAAGCGAGTGGCTAGTAAACAGGTAGTTGGTTATGTTGGGCGTATACGTATAGAGATAGAGCAAGAGTAAGAGAGAACGATATATAGCGCCTAGGTTTAGAGTAGGAATGGACCGAAATAAATCAAAAAGTAGGAGGGTGGGGGAGGGCGTTATATCATTGTGTACATCGAGGTCGGAAGACTGTTTGACCAGTAGAGAGAGAAAGATAGAGAGGGGGGGAGAAGAACAACGAAGATAACTGGAGCAGTAGGAGGAAAAAGGTGAACATCTACTTCGAGAGCCACTTTAGACGAGGAGGCTGTGAAGGAAGATGCAGATGGAGCTGGTGAGGAGGACTGTCAGTCGGCTAGTGCTGTCTGGATCCCCGTAGCTATCAGTGCCGCTGTCGTTAATCTCGGTGTTATCGTTTTCGCCCGTGCTGGGGGCGGCAGGAAGAAACCCGGGGAGAGGCTCCGGTTCTATCAGTAGATTCTTCTCAGCTACACACATCCCCTGTTCACACTTGCTGTAACCGTAGGGACAGGCGGAGCAGGCCTTTCCGATCTTGAATGGGGCGTCTGTCTCGTTATTAGCCCTGTAGAGTGAAGTGATAGTGCCTAATGAAAGAGCATTTAGTTGAATCAAACCGTGATCTTGGGTGTAGTTAAATCGACCCGCATAACTTTGAAACGATGGGAGGGAGAAAATGAGCGGACAGTTAGTGAGGGCTTTAACTTGGTACGCTGGTTTCCCAGCACCTAAGCGAATCACAGCTGCGAGAGAGAAATTTTAAGTGGAGCAAAATGAAACAGAAGAGGATTGCCTCTAAAAAGGAACACTTAAAAGAATGTTGAGAGGAGGAGTCAGTAAAGCTACATAAAAGTCTACTCTTCTATGGATAAAAGTTTAGCACGAACCCGCAACCTTTGATATTCATGAGAATTTGGCTTTAATGCATGAAGCGTGATTAACTGATTCCTTTTTATGGACCTTAGTGCCTTTGTAGTAATGTAACTGGCAAAGGAAAAAGAGGTCGCTGGTTACGATTTCACAGGTTCGTACGAATTAAGAACGCAGTAAAATCCTAGACTTGGATCTGTTTTCAATTACACAACTAATAATAAATCAGGTCTACGGTCCCATTAAGCGACTCTAAGTACTTGTTTCGAAGCGAATCCAGAGTCTTCTTTTTTCATCTATTAAGTTTTAAATAACTAGGTAAAACTCATCAAAACATATGATTGAGTGAAATCTTTTAAGTAAATGAAGTGATACTCCGTCACTAAGGGAAACATGTATTCAAGGTAATGTCAGCCTTATCTAAATTTATTCAAACTATCGTCACTTTCAACGAATCAACTTTCAATCAGATAGATACTCAGCTTCAATCAGAAAGACACTAACGAATAGTCAAATAGTTACTTTTCGAGTCTCATAAGGAAGTCAGATAGCTTCCTACCTTACTCAACTTAACTCCCTCTTGATTCAAGGTATTTTTTCGCTAAAGAACCAAACAAACTGAATGGATGAGCATACCTCGAGTTGTAGATGCACACCATGATGGATTTAGTCCCACAGACCTTCAGTGAGCAGCCGACCTGGGATGCGTTCGACCAGACAACCTGAGCAAAATAAGAAAGCATGCTATGCATAAAATTTTCATCTCCAATACAATGTCCGACAATGAAAAAAAGACCTCTTCAGTAAGTTGATTTTTTGCGACTTTGAGAGAGGTGTTATCAGGGTCGGAGACAGGATGCATCTGTCGAGATGGCCCTTTTTTGCGCTGTAGTGTCTCATCATTTATATGCATGGTCAAAAAGAAGAACCTTTTTTGGGGAAAGCACAAAATGGTATGATACCACTTACTACCTTGCCAAATTGGACCTTTTTGTTCGTATGTTTTCGTACCTTGTGGAGTGTGGAGGAGTTGAAATAATTGGTGCCTTCACCATGAGTCAGGATTATGTTAATCACCTTGTCTATGCTTGAGTTTTTCAGTAGCCCACCGTTTTTCGGTTGAAAAAGTGGGCATTATTCATTGCTCCTACCTCCTCCTTTACTAGTAGAAGGGAACTGTGAAGTAAGTTCCTTCAGCTAAAATCAGGCGAGGTGATTTGCCTGTTAGCCCCCTAGTCATTAGGTAAATCTACCTGAGAGGCATGTTTCGAACTATTTGTTAGCCAATGCCTTGAAAAAGATTCTCAAACCCACTCCAGGGTAATTAAATTGTCTTCTTTAAAGCTTTTATTCAGAAATATTTAACACTCAGGATAGCAGTCTGTAATCGAAGTAGACCTTAACAAATAAAGTGACACATTCTAATCGATCTCCTAACGTCAACCCCCGTTCATTCATCCAGTCACAAAATTTAAACAACCCGCCCAAAAAAACCTGACTTGATGAGAATGTTTACTTCAAAGGAGTGTTGAAAAACTGCCGCACACTCTGAAGTTCCCAAAGCAAGTTATTAAACTTCCATATGCATGATATAAATTAACTTTGGGAAAAAGCAAGCGAACAAGCATGTTCACTTGTGCCACAAGGGCAATCATGACCTTCAAATGCCTTTGTCACACTGATGCGAGCGTCGCAAATAATGTAAACATCAAATAGAGCGTAGAATGTCTCACAGAAATCAAAAATTAATTACTACTGGCATCTCTCACTCGAACGAAGTACGGCCTACGAAATAAAATCGGATACGAAACACCCTAAGAGCAATCCGTTCTTTCACAAATCAAATCACCAATATGCAAAAAAATCATATCTTATGCGAAGAGAATTTTGTAAATGAAAAACGGCGCTTGAAGAACTCTAACTGAATCGGCCAATCAGACCTGAGGATTTGATCGAGACTAACGGGTCTTCTTCGTTCTGCCAATAAAAATCGAAAGTTTGAAGATACTTTATCGTAATCCTTGTTTTCCATCGATTTGCCGATTTACTATGCATAGCCTGGTAAGGGATAGACAACAATGCCAACGGTCAGCAGTAGCTGAAATAAAGAAGAGGTGGTTACCTGCCACCAGGCATCGCAAGGATGGCCAGGACATCCACTATCGGGGTAGTAGTAGGAGCGTTGGGATCCCCACTGGTCAATGATGGAGGTCTGGATGTCCTCCGGGTAGCCGTCCTGCAGAGGCGGGGGGTAGGGCGCGGAGCCGAGATTGGCACCGAGATCGCGGAGCTCCGTTTGAGAACGTACCGCCTCCACAGATTTGGGACACTTCTCTACCACCAAGGCTGCAATCCTCTCCAGATTCACACTCCATGTCTATCACACAAATAAAATTTCACTAGCTGTGAAATAGCACTTCTGGAAGCTCCAATTTTCCGTACACGATCTCAAAGGCCACAGGCAAGACCAGGCAACAAAAAACGCGCTCAAATTTTTACTCATTGGGTCGGGATTCTGCAGTAATCTGTGGAATGGGAGCTCCGAAATCAAGCAACATAAAACTATGCAACGTAGTGTACTTGTGTCTGCATTTCGGGATGTTGGAAGCTACCTATCCTACAAAAAGAGACCGTTTCTGTAGTTGGTAAGGGTACGATTCGAAATAAATTTGAGACTGCACTCCCTCCCTTTGGAAGGTGCTCCACAATTTATGGCATCGTTACGCACAGGGTTTATTGCCCTCTCTTGGATCAAAACGATTCTACGAAATACCTCGGAAAGGTTTGTGCCAGGGTGCAGATTCTAACTATTCTGACGCCATCATACTCCACTCGGACACATTTCACAGCAGCATGAAGGGTGTGCTAGGCCCTTAGCGTTTTGAGATCTCGCATCCCCACCATTGTTCAGTGAAGTGTGGTCCTGTCTGACCACTGACTAATATCTCCAACCGTCTAACCCCAAGCGCAGTAGCTAAACTACCTCCACCTCAGATACAACTTGACCTTAATTTTTTTTACCTTTTCTGCAGTTTGCTAGGCTATTTACCATTCACCCGACTTTTATGACCTTCTGTACCGTCAAAATTGGCTCTAAGTAGGCCCCCACGACCACTGCCATTCCTAGCGGATGCCACCGATTGCTCGCCTGATGCAACTTTGCACAGGATTAATATTTTGACAAGAAAAAGAACGCCTATTTAGATTTAAGTGGGAAAACAATATTAACAACAACAACATCTGGATGTATCCAAAATTGAAGGTGCAGTTGGGGCTTAAATTCGGCTTATTTACTGCTGTCAGATTCGCACACTAGCCAGCACTTAACTTAGTCGTTGAATGGCCATAGTAAAGTAGTGGGTAATGGTCGGTGTGTGCCACTTGATTGACGTCTACTTGGCTGATGTTTACGTGAGTGGTTTATGCCTGCACTCGAATACAGTATGGGAATAAGGCAGGGGAAGAAAACTGACCATTTTCATCATATCTGCTGCCTGTGTCAAACTGCGATACTGTTGGTGTCTAGTCAGGATACGCATAACGTCCGGTTTCTCCGCTCGTACACATCCGACTACAAGTCCCACTACCAGCCCAAAGATGAGAGCGACCTGAAATCGGCCTTGGTCCACCATCACTACTCCAAAAGCAGTGCCAAATTTACCAACTAAAACAGAAGTTGGTTAGTGAAAACTCGAATCAAAAAATTAACAAATGAAAGGGAAAAAGAAGACTACTTTCTTTTTCGAAATTCTAAGATGAAGATGGATGGGTGGTGTGAAAGAAGAGACTAGATTAATTGTAAAATGAAAAGGCTACAGGCAGGAGGCCTAAACGAAGCACTCACCGGTTAGTAAGAGGACGAGAAACAAACAGAGTGTATACGATGCAGCTGGATAGATTTGTATCTCGTACAAGCCATGCGTACACCACGAAATCCTCATCGCGGATTGGTCAGATGGCACATTGTAGTTCTACGTCCCTCCTCCACCCCCTCCCCTCCTCTCGGCTTCTCATTGGCTACCTTGTGGGTAGAAAATCCACGGATTTTGAAGCACATGCACCTGAAAATCCCGATGCTAGGATTGTGTGGAAATGTGATAAGAAAAAAGAAGAATGCATCCAACATGCCGTAGTTGTAAATGGCGTAGAGACCCTAATCTGCGTGATTATCAAGAAGGAATTCTGAAAATGATTTTAGACAGTATTTTTACCTCATTCCTCACCAAGTTATGTATCGCAAACAGATAAGCGAAGTTTCAAACAGTGTTGGTGGTCACGCTTTTTCGCCTCTTGTCCAAATGATGGCGTTTGAGAACAAGGCAACACTTCTGGCTGTGGTGCTGACTGACCTCTGAGACAGACCCTGGTAGTGGATGTGTTGATCACGAAGGTCAAATGAAGTTTTACGCTTTTATGGCTATTAGGAGCACTGGGAGGAACTTCAACTTATCAATTACCAAATCTACCAGGGCAGCCGGCTTCATTTACTAAGCCCGGCCACCTATATGAACACGAGCATCATGTGACCTACTATTACAATGGGAAAACCGATAGGCACCACTATGGTGACTTTTTTCAGGACTAAGCCAGTCATTCCTGTGCATTTGCGTTTCCTGAGTGGCTTAAGTTTCACTACAGGCATCATTCTTTAGTTCCTGGTGCAAATTCTTGCTAAAGCTTTGCTGATATGCCTTACAAATCTTTACCTGATACTTACAAAGGCTTTTATTCTTTCGAAAGTAGCTTTAAATTGACCGTACTTCCCTATTTATCCAGGTTTGCACATGGAGGAAGTACTTTCGCATTCTTTCGTTTGCGCTTCCTTAGTACCATTTGGAACTGCCACTTTGAAGGCGTGAGGCGAACGGCTCCAGCGCAGTGTGATGAGCGTGGGCCAGCTTTCAAACTGTCATTTTTTGAGCAAACTTCTATGGATAAGCCACTCTTTCACCGATCATCCTGTCAGCCCAGTCACTTCGATAATTACTGCAATTTTCATGCTCTTCCTCTCACAAGGGAGGAAAATGGCGCCATAACTTTGTTTCAAGTTTGCAAATGATTTTCTGGTCTCTTTTAGATTTAGTCGCATGTAATTTGCGAAATGGGCAAGTAATTGTGTCCAAGCCAACAAACATTCCTGTAAATTTATTTGATGGTAAATAATCCAAGGAATGGAGATTACTTCTTGATAATTTACATTTGATTGCTGTATGGATGAGTCACGAATAGTAGCTCAGAGTTCAAAGTAGAAATCAAAATAAAAAACAAAATCTTGCATATGAATAATAGGTGGGCATTCTACAAAGGAGCTTGGGAAAATTCGAGGCGCAGTTTCACCATCAATCCGGAATAATAAAATTTGCATCATGTTAAGTGAATCGAGGGGTTAAATGTTAACGTGTGGAGTCGCAAGTCTTTTTTGTAGACGGTGAAACACTCAAAAACTGGGACTGAATAGGTATTGTTGACGTAGAGAAGGGTTAACGGGACTGCTGGCGTGGTCCTGAGGACAGACTTTCCAGTAAAAGTACAAAAGTGGAGCCTTAAGTACCTGCGAAAAGAAAACGGAGGCTTAAATAATTAAATAAAACATTTCATAGCCCCTCTCTTCCTTCTGAGTGTCGTCCCTGACGCTCCCCACAAACCGGCCATGTCAGTCATCAAACTTCCATGCGAGTGAGGAGATACTTGACCTCAAAGTCACTGACCCCCCTTGACAATTCCACTGCATGTGGAGTATCGGCCTATTTGGGAGCTGTATTTGGGGGAAGGAATGTGCTGGCCAGCACATATGTCTATCGCTAGTTGTAAGCAGAATCACATAACAAAGGAGAGGACTTAACATGCTTCAGTGGAAACACGTTGTTTTCACTTCAGAGCTATTCAGCCATATTCATCCGCGTTCTATCCACCTAGGCGGAGGTGGAGGAGGTGTCATTGGTTCACTTCAGTAACATCTCCGTACAAGTACGGTAAACAACTTCATGAAGAACTTTTCCAGATGGTTCACGGGTATTATCGCGTCAAATGCTAACTGCACTCCTGCAGAACAGAGGAATGGGATTGTTGCCGTCATTTTCGGCCCTTCCGCCAGGGTTCGTAATAAATTCGCTTACCCCCAGCGTTGGTACTTCTTCCGCTACGCTAAGCTTTATCACTCAGCAGCAGAAAACATGGTATTTATCCTTTAAAATCGGATTCGCTTTCCTCTGTTACTATTGTAACGTTCCGAGACTTGCCTAAAGAAGAAAGAAGATATGATACTGGGGCAGAACAAGTTTAGCTGACGCACAGAAGGGAGTTGCTGACATAGCCTAAAAGACATGCTCCTTAGCATAATTCCACAAAATTGGGGTTTTAAGTGTAATTAAAGACGAAACAAGGAGTAAAGCAAACAAATGAAGTACGACAGTCGAGACTCACGCAATTGCCAGACTACAGCATCCTCGTTACCGAGACATACTTACAGTGACGGATTTACGAGCTGTCAGAAAGCGCTTTATTGCCACTCTCTGGATGAAGTAAGGAATACGGGCATATCGTAGATCTGTGCTTCGCCCCTCCTTTGGTCAGCTCAAACGAATCCAAGCCCTCAGTTGAAGGGTTCACCCAACACCAGGTGAGAGGGAACTGTGGGGGTACAAATGCGGGGCACACCTACTGGCGCGGTCATACACAAAGGCTTTCAGCCTGTCGCCTACTTCTCCTGTTAGCATCTTCGGCAAAAAAATCAGATTTTGCCTCGTTTAGCATCTTCTTATTCCCCTTTTCCTGAAGTTACACATTAAGGTGGTGATTATGAATCCTCTAAGTGATAAAGCTTCCCTCCGATTTTTTGAAACCTCCGGACTGGCAGAAATTTTCAACTCATTTTTTTCGAGAATGCACCTCTGAAAAATGACTTTCTTCCTAGCTATTCTAATTGGAGACGCCTTCTGGGTCTTTGAAGCCCTTTTTTGTTCCAAGCATATCCCGTCGGTGGAAAGATGGCTTGTGAATCTTGTGTGAAAGGGTTTACTGAAGACTTTTCTACGCAATTCTAAGAAACATTAAAACGAATATAGATGAGATCGCCTTCTAATAGGCGTTGTTACTCCAAATTAGCATTTATGAGAGCTTTTCCATTAAAACTAGGGTTTCGATCTTACCATCATCGAGGGACGTGCCTACGACGTTACCACACGGAGAGTGACATGCTGCGCACTGTCTGTCAAGTGGGCAGTCGACGGTAGCTGGAGGTGCATGAAATAGTTTGCAATGATCACGTTTTTTGAGAAGGACACCTATAACTAGATGATATTTACTTACTTTTGCGCAATTTATGATGACGAAACCCTCTACGGCTTAACAGTAAGATATTTGAGTGGCATGGACATTTTCATGACTGCCCAACTTGTATTTTGGTGACGACCCCATTTACCGAGACTCCCAGCTTGCATTAGTCATCCTGAACGCCTGATCAGCCTTCCATACTCTGAGGCGAATTCTAAGGCTAGTCTTTCTGCATGAACAGTGGACCCCACCGCCGACAAACACGGACACTTCCGATTTCGAAAGGTTAGCAAACACTGGTTACCAAGAGAGCTTCCTATTTTTGACCCAGCACAGAAAATCGGAATGTGGGAGTGAGGTCGAAAGACCGTTTTGTCATAAAGTGTTAGATCTACCTTGATTGTACCATTACGTGTATTGAAGCTTAGGTATGGCTACCGAACTCCCGACATCAAAATGAGCGCCGAAACTTTGACCTAATGAAGAAGTTATCCTCCGGTGATTTCACTGTAATGGGAGATCTTTATATATCCATGCCTTCCAGTTGTCAGTTTAGAGTTGGAACAGTTGGGCAAATGTGATGGGAGGCTCTGATTTCTTTTGTAAAATCCAAAGTCCCCACTTATCTTGAATTATCCTCGTATTCTAAAGCAGCGGCCTGCTTTCATTTTCTTCCAATCAGAATCGGTCTGGGCACCTAAATTGGTGCCAAAGGCCTGACAACTTAAGGATATTTTGTGTAGGATTGCTGACAAGGAGTGGATGAAGGAAGACGAGGTAGAGATGACTTTTTTACATGGGTCAGTAGATCAACTTATTTCCCTTTTATGCCCATTGTCAGAATCTGCAAAGTGAAGTGGATCCTCCAAACCGATCTTGGGTTGGTACCAATACCACACCACTACCGATCGTGGTGCAAGTCTTAACATTCTAATTTCCCCATTTAATTTCTTCGTCTCCATGTTATGAATGGTGTTTTTCTTTAGATTTCTTTCTCCTTCACTCCATCAATGCCCATGCTTACGCGACCGGAGAAAGCAATTGCCAGTGTCGAGAGTCAGATTATAAATTAAATGTTGGAATCCGTATGTTCAATCTTTAAAAGATAAATTAGGTGTTCCACCTTCATAACTCTCTGTCTTCGTCGTCCATTCCTAAAATGCAAAGTGCTTCCCCCGTGACTGGGCTCGTCGGAAGCTAAATGCCATCTTCAAAGGGCATAATTCTACACTTTACAATTGACGTTTTATTTTAAAATGTCTTAAACAAACACGCAGATGAAAGGTAAGGATGAATGTTTGCAGGTTGTCAAAACCAACTAAAGACCAGTCGTTAGGAGCGAAGTCAGCTTGACAGTTGAAATAGCTTTCCCACACATTGATGCTAACTGGCAGCGTTGATGGAAATAATAGCAGAATGTGCAGGCCGTCATGGACCTCCATCGCTACTCCTAAAGAAAGTCGTTTTAAGAAAAGAATCTTATAACAAAAATGGAGTTTATGATAGATCAGTGAGGATGAGGTTTCGCGTGTATTTCTCCTTGCAACTTTGTTACCACTTAAGAGCTGCCCACCCATACCTACCTGGGTTTCACCCACCTACTAGAGAGGTAAAGGTGGCACTGCGTGTTCACCTAATTGACACCTTCACACAAGCACGGTAGACACTCCCGAAATGAAATTTTCCTAGTGGTTAACGGATAGTGAGCTTCAAATACTACTAGCATTTCTGCAAAATACGGAATTGGAATGATTGCCGAAGGCAGATGACATTTTCAGACCTTCCACCTACTTCCATTTACAGCACATGCACTTCTTCCGCCAAGTTGAAGTCCCGAATTCGGTAATAGAAATAGGAATAGCTATCCTTCGAGGTCGGGTTCGCCTTCTGCCTCCACTAATTTGGCACCCCGAGACTTCCCTAAAGACTGGAAAAGACATATTACTCGGACAGAATACGTTTTGTCGGCGTACAGCATGAACTGAAGCTGATGGCATGGCTCGGAGACTAGGTGGCCTAATGAAAGTTTAGTGGTGGAGCCCCTAAGTGGCATTTTACCAAAACCGAGAGTTAAACGAACAACCGACGTATTACACCTACATTTTTGTCACCAAAGAAATTGACGTTTCAGAGGCTCTGGACGGGAGTATCGCCTTGCACAACTCACTTCCAAAGCGTTGGTACATCGAGGTAGTTCGCACAAAAAATATAATTAGTTTCAAGCAAATATAGAATTATATTTCTTCTTCTGCCTATTTACTTTGCCCAATTCTACGACCCAGTTTTCGTGCCCAGTTTGGCAGCTCTTGTATCAACACGAGCAGCACATGCACTGCCCAATTTTTCATAAAATGCCCATGCAAAAACTCTTTACTTGAACCCCTTCTCAGACTTGATTAATTTAAATTAAATTCCCTAATGGTTCTGCAAAATTTTTAGTCAAAATTAAAATGGTATAACGGTTTTATTTCATTCGTTTGTACATTCTAGTTACCACTTCAACGAACATGCAAAAGAAGTTATTGTGTTTAAACAGAGTGTATCATTTAAATGCAAGCGTATTTTACTGATAATTGCGTATTATGGTAGCAACACCCCAGATCTTTCCCATATTTCATAACTAATCAAATTAGTGTGGCAGAAAATATGCTACTAACTTACAGGAGGTTTGGGCGGTTATTAGCATGGCCCCAGGACCTTACCGCCGAGTGGGATTATTGTAAAACAAGTTGATTGTTTGCTTAACTTCTGTTTTGGTTACATAGGCGCTGAGGGCATCTGGGACATTCCAGTAGCCTCTCAACCCATCTGTACGTCGGCAAAACACATTCGGTCTGAGCAATATGTCTTTTCTCGTCTTAAGGGAAGTCTCGGGGCGCTACATTTGTGGAAGCGGAGAGCGAACCCGACCTCAAATGATAGCTATTTCAATTTCTACTACTGAATTCGAAACCTCAACTTGGCGGAAGAGGTACATATGCTGTAGATGGAAGCAGGTGGAAGGTCTGAAAATGTCATCTGCCTTTGGCAACTACCCCGCTCCCGTGGTCTGCGCTAAAGCTTTTAATATCCGAGGCTATGCTGGCTGTGGCCGCGAACCATCTGGAGAAGTTTGTTACTGAGCTATCTACTGTACTTGTTTGAAGATGTAAATTAAGTAAACGCGTGATGCTCCCTCCTCCTCTCTACTGGCTGGATAGAATCAAAGTTGATGTAGCTGGACAGCACTGAGGTGAAACCGAAGTGGCAAGGAGGAATAGACGCGAAAACTTATCCCCACGTAACTATGTTCAACCCTTTTTTTTGTTGCATGACACTGTTTTTTGGCCAGTATTTTACGACTAGCGGTGGACATGCGTGGTGGCCAGCACATTCCCTTTTCCTCGAATTTAGACCCTAAACAGAACAAAACTTCAAATCCAGTGACGTGGCCAGGAGGCATCAGTGACGTTGAAGTCAAATATCTTCTCTGATGCATGCAAATTCGATGACTGGCACGGTTGGTTAATGGGTGTTTTCCTTACAGCGCCGATTACGTTGTGATGGCCAGTGCAGGAGGTGGACCAAAGGAGGCGTCGTAGACGAAGTTACAAAGAAGAGAAGGGGCTATGAAATACTTTAATTATTTGTTCAACACTTCGGTTTTGGTTACGTCGATACTGAAGGGTGTGGCCACTGTACTTTTTCTGGGCGGCTTATATTCCAGACTATGCCAGTAGCCCCAGCCCCTCTGTACGTCGGTAGTAAATACTCCCCCCCAGTGTTAAACCTTTTTTCGTCTTTAGGGAAGTTTCGAGTTGCCACATTACAACCCGCGAAGACAGTGGTATCCATGTAGTTAAAAAAATCATCTCACCACAAAAAGGCGGTGTAGATGGATTTAGCATTATTAATAAGAAACTTCGATAAAACTGTACCAACATTATTACGGAAAGTCGATAGGTTCAAAAAATAGTAGAACGTTTGTAAACTTTGAAGTAAAATGTAGCAAATCTGGTCACCATTGTTAGACTTATAAAATGACAAATATCTGCAGTGATTGACTACTTGGTAGCATGGACTGTAGTGCTATGATAGCTTGTTTAACTGGGCGCCTGATTGCGCGGACACTTAGGCCTCTGCAGCGTATACTTCCGCTCACCGCTAGGCTCTCCGGGTCCTGCTAATAGCCCCTCAGCTCTTCTGTACGTCGGTGATACATTTCCTGCCATTCTGTCGTAATTTCCTATGACATCAGGAAATACGCGGTTTGGTACAGTACGTTTAACTCCGCAGACTCTTATATTGCTGTGATTTGTACTTTCGTTTTTGCAATATGGACTTCCAACCCTTCCGTACGTTAGTGATAAATCCACGTACATATTAGTGCGGCTTAGCACCGGTGACGGCAGCAAGAGAACTGAACCAAATGGATAGCTAGTTCAATCTCTGTGAATGATTACTAACCCCAATATCATAGCAAAGCATCTGCTGCAGATAGCTGAACCGGCGGAAACTTACTACAAAGGCATTAAAACCCCTCGTACTTCAAGTGGATCCTCTGCTTTGGGCTAGGTCCAATAGTATCTACTTGTAGTTAAACTAAAGTAAAAAGCTATTATATGGCTCCAGACATCCTCATCTTTAATGTTTCTCTTGGGTAAAGGTTGTTACAAAAAACCCATCCAAGTGTGTGCTTCCCTAAAACAGTCGGCATGGCAAGGACGTGACACTCAGAAATCTCAAACAAACGTATTTGATGTATTAACATCCATAGGCGGCACCCTTAATACGGTTTTAATTCATTGGCTTCTGGATCTTGTTTTGTGGTTACTGGTAGTTCTTCCAAGTACTACTGACCACAGAGTGCACAGGTAATGCCATTTGAAGGAGAGGGGAATAAGTTGTAATACGATAGTGGTTTATCCCTCGGTACTAATGAGGCGCCACTGTTGTACATTGAATTAGCCCTCTTGTACCTCGCTGGGTGGGCTGGCCTTTCGGGCCATGCCAATAGCTCAGACACCTCTGCGTTAAACATACATTCTGCCCGAGTACATTCGCTTCCTTCGTCTTCAGGGAGTCTCAAGACGCTACAGGGTGGTGGTATAAAATAGGTTTTTTCGTAAGTATGGATTCAGGAGCTATTCATCCCAAGCACTTAACAACCTTGCCTGCAAGGTATGGTTAGACAGCCCTGTCCATAGCCTCTCGGACCCTTATGCATTAATCATAAGGCTTCTTACACATCGTTGATGAATATTATGACCTCAGGGAACGATCGCAGCGGCACACGTGGCATATATGTAGTGTAAATTTAGTTATATTTACAGTTCATTGAATGCATGGAAAGTTGTTGCATACATGTTTTATTACAATAATTTACAACCAACTTAGTTTGGTTTATCCAACGTAAGATTTGCAAATCAGTCAATTAGCACCGATAATTTATGCAACGATTTTTTGAATAAATTTGTAAAATGCAACATTGCTAAGTGTGCATCATCAATATAGCAAAATTTCGTTTACATATGGGAAAAAAACTTGTTAATCTGTGTTCATGTTCAAGAGCATTGTTTGACTATTTGGGTGGAGTTGTTCTAACGTCTTCTTTGCGGCCTTGCCCTTAATACTATTGTCTAATAGAATAACTGCGAACGGCTTAAAAGGGCTTAGTTTTTGTATTTATTTGACATCTTCATATGGTGTTAGAACTATCATTTAACTCCTCCCATCTTATCTGTCTATTGTTTGCCGCGGATTGTGTTCTTGTGCACAGAATTTTCTACTTCAAGTCATCATGTAGAATTATTATTTGGTTATTTAAGGTGTTATGGACTCATTGATTTGGGAAGATGCAAGCTTTACCAGCAGAAATAACGAAAGGTTTCGTAAAAATGACATTCTCCATTCTTTTCTTTGGGCAGCCTTTAATCTCATTGCCGCTCTATGGCTGTCGGCTTTTTTGTAAGATTCTGCCTTTATGATAGTTTAATTTACGGCAGGAATCCTGGTGTGGTTTTCTCGCACTATCCTCGTGTAAGCTTACAGTTCATAGTTTTCCAAGTAATAAGTGAGTTCAATCGTTACACTAATGACTTTACCGTAGCGGCGTTATTGCTGTGCCTCGTTCTTATTTCGGCTGCAAGACATCTCTATTACCTATGCATTGCACTGAACTTGTTTAAGTCGAAAAGGCGAAGAGGTAATGCTTTGGTATTTTGATGTAGTATATTTGGCTTACCAGAGGTCAAGTCATTGAACAGCGACTCTGTACGTGAGGGCCGATTCGGACCTACCGTTTTTTTAAAATCGGCTTGCACTTCGCCTTCCTTTGGCTCGTGCTTCTCCTCTCCAAACCTGTCCGTTAACAGGGTGACAAATCAGGCGCTGACCGAACATAGTAGAGCCTCGTGGTGTCCTGATAAATTCCCCACGATGCGTCCTTTTGGTGACGTCCCCTCACCCAACGTATCTGTTTGTAAGCTCTCCTGTCATTGTAGCACTTATTTCAGAGGCACATTTGTTCTAACTATGCGGCTTCTGCAGATTAGAAGCAATGAGGTGATTCCTCTTACCAATCATATGCAGGATATTATATTGTTGTTCTATAACACTATAGTGTAGCGCACGAGTTATTCTTAAAGGCTCCAAGGCTTAAGTCTAGAGCCAGGTCATTTATGGAAATTCTGAAGGAATGGAATTTTAATGGCATTGGGATAGACCAGAGCTCCATGCCACTGTTATGAAGACTGGATCATTGGAGGCTGAAAAGACGGAATCATTAATCTTACTAGGATTAGTTATGTCCCATTTCCTGGATTTCACCATGTGTTCTAAGTTGAATCAATTGCTCCTTTTAGCGCCGACTCAGACTATGGCAGGTGCCTCAGCCATGGCAGCCTCTGCTGTTGCCTTCAATCTTTCCGTCCGGTCGGATCAGAGTTGGACGTCGCCTCTGGCAACCGCGACGCCGCGTCGCACCTCACTGACCCGTTGGGGCACCTACTCACCCACCTCGCCCTCCGCTATAACTGTTCCGCTGCAGTATCAGCTCTCGCCCTCCCTTGGTTCTAGCAGTTGCTTGGACATCGGCAAAAACTTTGGCAAGAGCATTAACTCTGTTTCCAGTGATCGCAAAGATGGCGATGTTAGTGGCAACCCCTATTCCTCTACTGAGACTGACGACGATGGCGGATTTGAGAGGTTGATGTGTCGGGGCCGAAAAGCTGTCGCCGCGCCAGAGAAAAGCGCCTCTGAAGTAGGAAGACTCAGTTGTTTTTTTGCTTTGAACTTCATGGATTGTTTTGATAGTTTTATACCAAGCGATAGGGTACTAATTACGCATGTTGAACAGTGTGGGAGGGTGCCAATAATGCCATGAGTTATATCTGAAGTAGTAAAGCCTCCTACATAAAAGACTGTTACTGGTAATCTACAGAAGGGCTAGTAGATTATGTATGCATGTGCGGGCGGTCATGATGCCAAGACCGTAGCAGAACCTTAGAAGACTAAGGGATTCGGTTATTCAAACACGCACTTAATCAAATGTCGTTTCATTGATCTCTTAGTACTGGAAAGCCAACGGTGTGAGCGAGCTCGACCTGGACCGTTGGACAGTGGACATTCGCAGGGTGAGTGTATACTGTCTATCTTTCACCTCTACTCACGTCTCTTGGTCATTTTATGCTTATTTTACTGTTTTTTTCCGCAGTGGTTGCATGGAACTATCCTTCGTCGTGTTGTTGATGAAATTGCCTCAGTGAATGCGAAAATATCGAAACTTTCGGACGACGCAGCACTCATTGGATGTGAGTTTTTGACCTCTCTCCTCCATCTCGTGCTTCTTATATGCTTTTTCTTCCGTTTGCGTTTAGCAACCACATTGAATACACTGGAACAGTTGGCGAAGGGACGATATCAGCATATTGTCACGCTTCCAACGCTCATTCGATTTCTGGAACTTACCAAGGAGCAAAACTATCTCGTCTTTCGGTTGCAAGGTTGAGGCTTTAATGCACTTGGGTTTACTGCTTCAAATACTGGAGTAGGATTTATGATTGCAAAGAACTGCATAGGCGCTTTAATTTTGGCTTTGAAAAGTGTATAGTCATCCTTTTTGGTGAGACGGTCATTTAGCTATTCTAATAATATTTCTTCGGCTCATTTATATGGTTACTTTAGCTCAACCTAACTTCCCATGCTTTGCTGTAGAGCTGGCTCGAGGGAGTTGCCTTGGTGAATTTGGATGGGACGCTGGTTCTCGAAGCACCCTCTCCCCATGGAAGGACTACCTTCCTAATGACACGATGGTAAGTGTTAACGGTTTCATCTCGTTAATTGTATTGCACAGGCTGTTTGGGCATCACACTTCTATCCGATTTGCGTAGATCCTTCTACACATTTTCTCCACCTACATGGACAGTCTTCTTCCTCCGCATGCTAAATGTCTCTCGGGAGGCGTCTTTGGGCAACTGCACCTTGTTCGTAGCCCCGATAAGCCCGGTAAGACCAGTTAAGCGCCTCGTTTCCAACAATTCCGCCTTTTGCTTGCATCTCTGGTCTTGAGAGCAGGCTTTTTCTAGATCTAAAGTCCAAGTATAACGCTCAAATCTATGTGGCTACGATCCAGCCCCCATCGATCAAGATTGTCATTGATGGAATTATCTACACATTCCCACCGGTATGTCCTCCCATTTTAGCCCACGCCCTCTCATTGCGGGGTTTTCGGTTTTAGGGTCGATACAACTTCTTTCATGCGCTGCTTCTTTTTTTCCACTTCTACAAGTCTTTGGACGGTACAATAAGGTAATACATCTCTTCAAGCAGGATGAGCAACCAAATATCCGTGTCCCCTAGATCGATTTCTTTGGGCCCTTCTGGTCTGAATGTGGCCTGGATCTTCGAGAGACGGTAACCAGTTGAAACAATAACGGTGAAGCCGCTAAAGAAGCTAACAATAAGCACGTCGCACTCACATGTATGGATTTCGTATTAAAATATTGAGTATTTTACTCCTGAGCTACTGTTCTAGAAGGTTCCGGTTGGGTAGTGCTCTACTGGTTTAGATAACCGCTATCCAACGTTACAGTAAATTCCTCTTTGTTGAAGTGACAAGGCCACCTTCTGAGTTACACACAGTAAAGTACGCTTTCACGTGTCATAAAAACGAGCGTCAATGAGCCACACGCCTATATTCATCGAGCAAAAGTTTACGTATGACATTTGGATTCATCGTGGATGAATATCAAAGGAACTCTAAGCCTCACGCAGGTATGGTGCAAGCCTATCTCCTCTACATGCGCACTCTCCCAATACGGCACTTGAGGCAATTACAGAGGAAAGGGGTCTATATTAGTGTGTCATCAAATGTACACAAAACATCTTGAATCGGAAGCAAACCTTCCTCAGGTGTGGCTGCCTCTTGGGAACATGCTTCTGGGAAGGGGGCCTTTTCCACGTCCGTGGTCTGGGTCACGGTCTTCGGAGCAGTCTTCTTAGCAGGAATTGGAGGAGGGTCCTCCGAGTGAGCGCGTTTTTTCACCCTTCTTGAAAGAGCGGGTGTTTCGGCTTGTGTGGTTTCGTCCAGAAGGTTCGAAGGTTTGCTCATTTCTTGGAGTGGCGCCTCGCAGGTATCCGTGCCTGTCATCTCGACTCGTGTTAGTAAAACACAGTTATCAGGAATGGAGGTTGTGTTCGCAATTACTGGTTCTTGTGCTGGTTGGGCCTGTTCCTGCCATGCTTCTAAGCCAGTTGCACCATCATTCTCCTGCTGCATCGAAATAAGAGATTTGGAAGATTGTTCGGTTTGAGTGAATGAAGAAACAAGAGAGTTGCCATCACAAAGGCTTAATTTGGCAAACGGTGTGTCAGGGAGGGACTTGAATGTGTGTCTATAACACCGTTCTGCGTTAATCCGGACCAGGTAGTCGTTGTGTTTCAAGAGGACCCTTGATAGCTCGTGCAAAACGTTTGATCTTGGAAATAGGAATCCATAGTCTCGAGCAGCGCTCGCTGCGTTTAGGAAGGGTATGAGGAAGTGTGGTTTTACTATCACTTGTTCCGGTGGAGTCAGTTTATTTGGCTTACTAAGAAGGTTAACAAGACGTGTAGCGAGATAATGGAGTTCAGAGGATAAAGAGAGGAGAGCTTGCTTAAACTTATAGTCACAGAAGTTATTATCCGACCTGATTGAATGGTCCGTGATTTCGACCATTGACCGCGACAATATGAAGGAATGGTTGACGAAGAGGAGCTCTATCAGACGAATGGAGGCAGCAACACAACAAACGTGGAGCTCATAAATGCTCACGTCTTCTGCGCTAGTCATGAGCGATTGGGCCAAACTGCCTCTAGCTGCAAAAGATATGTCGAAGCAGACCTCGAAAATTATACGAGAAGTAAGTCGGAAAAGCGACGGAGATGCCACTTGTGCGGTTGCGTCAAGGAAAGAGGAAAGGCAACGATAAACAGCTAACTTGTAGGTTAGTGAGTCCTTAGATGGATGTGATCGAGCAAATTGTGAAGACCACTCAAGTTGATACACCAAGCTAGTCATGAGAGAGGGAGCAGAGGGTGAAATATTAACTCCACAGGACCGAACGACAACGCAAAATGAATGGAGGAGATGTTTTGCACACGCCATCAAGGCGGACGATGAATGACGAGGATCGCATATGTTTACAGAAAATATTGCACAAATGGCAAAGCATATATATGGTAGACAAATTGGGAGCACAGTAGTTGATCCATTTTCAAAAATACTCCTAAGGGTGCTAGAAAGAACGTATATCCTGCACAATGCCAGTTCGAGTTTATTTTTTACATTGATTTTGTCCATCGTGAGCAAACGAGGTAATATCTTCAATTTTGGATCTCGAACTGACATGAGAGGCTCTAGCACAGATATGTGGAAACCCGACGTTTTAAATGCACTGATAGCAGCATCCAAGAGTGTAGAAACTACTTGTTGAAGTGACAACTTGAATTTATCCATACGGTTTGTGGCAGTGTCGGCAAGCATTAGATGCGAGAAGCAAACACCCACATACTCCATTACGCGAATATCCAAGGAGTGCACTTTCTTGCATTTAATATCTGTATTCTTTTCCACAGATCCGCAGTACATTATATGGTAAATGCCTGCTTCACATATTCTCCAGAACCCACTTCCACGACGGCTGTCCGACTGTAGCACTTCAAGAACCTTCGCCCAGTTCCACCTTACCGAGCAACTGTGAGCTTTCAGGGACTTGAAAAACTTCACAAAGCGTTCCGGCAGATCCCGAACACTTGGACGGACCATGCGCACAACGAAAAGCTCGTGTACAAACAACCTTCAAAGGTGAATGTCTAAAACAAGCAATCGTAGTTATCATGCCTACAGAAATAGACTCAACCTTAAAACTGAGTAGCCAAAGCGGTAAGCACAATTTGCGACGAGTGGGTAAAGTTTTGTGATAAAGAGCTACGTTCCAATACAAGAAAAATCAAGTACGTATTTACACTACAAGTAAGTAAGGCAGTATAGTGAGCTGGTGGTCCATTTGTTCATGTGCATAAGGAATTATAATAATGTTCCGCTTAGCAAAGCACATCGCACGACTGTACTAATTCATAAAAAGACATGTCATGCCGTAACATACAATGATACAGAGTTGATATATCAATTGCCTTACATGGTTACTGGTGATGCATGAAAGTGTTGCACTAAAGTACGCACGGACAGTCAAAAGTGAGCCTGTCGTTACTGGCATGCTGTATTCCACACAGGGTTTTGCTCTATGGTGTTTACTCCTTGCCAATATTTGTAAAAATTTAAAGGGTGAACAATAATAAATAATTTCGTTGTCTTAATGCACGGAAGGCAATACGTACTTTTCCAAGTGTTAAGGTAATCAAGAATCTCTAGCAACAAGCCAAATACAACAGACGAAAACCTTTTCTTCCAAATTTTTGCAAGTCGCACTAAGAATTCGTGGTCTTGATAGTTCCAGTGCGAATTGTCATCTTACTATCCCGTATTAGTTTTAAGCACTTTTTTTCGGTTACCACTAAAGGTGTCCTTAGGGTGTTTATTCTGCGCTAAAATTTCTGCGTTACTTCATTTATGATGAAAACTTTATTCAATGATCATAAACCTACCTTCATTGATTTGGCGCTGTACGGGAAACATGGGTGTGCAGAAGTGCATATAACGCGCTGCGGTCGGATATTGGTTGTTTCAGAATACATTAAGGCATATTATGCATCGGTTGCGGCTGCAAAAGAGAGGTTTTGTTATTAATCCTATCACTCAATCTGTTGCGCACTCATTAATCTAGAAATAGTTTCCAAAAATGCAGTTGGTGACTAGTCACCTACATTGATAAAACGGGCTTATTTGTCCCTATTTCCAGTTAGGATTTAATGGACCATTTTGCCTAACATTTTGTAGTAGGGAAGCACTGCTTCGTTTGCATTGAATGGTGTGAAATTGCTTCTGTTAAATCTGATTCCCCACTTTTTTCTTGAATGGACTAAATTTCCGGTTTAAATTTCTCTAGAGTGTCGTCGCAGTCTTCACGGCACTCACAGACTTCGTGGGCCTTTAAGACGTGATCGCGACACTGGGCTGTGCATTCCAATTCTCTACCCCTCTATTACTTCGAAGTGTTGTACGTCCCCACCCCTTCGCGTTTCCAACTCCGCCGGTGCTACGCCAGTTCGTGGGGCAGAGTGCGAAATCAGATTTCGTTCTACCTACTCGCCTGAGCTGTCACGCCCCCCTTCTGCAAACAGTGCTGAGCTTAACAGCGGAGGAAAATTAGGTGATGTAGTTTCCGTCTTCTCCCCTCCTGGACCTCCCGCTTCACCTGTTCCCAGCCCTTCAGGTGAACCCTGCACCGGATCACCCTCTCCAGCCTCCACTGACCTCTTCAGTGCTCCCCCGGCACCCAACATTATTAGAGTCAAATTAAGAAAGCGCAGAAACGCCATCTGCAGTCAGACCCCCATGGCCAAGGGTCTTCGTGATTTTCTCGTCTCTTACATTGTTTCACATCTAACCGATTCTATGACTTCTTCGCTCAGTCTAACAGCAGCGGCGGCCGCTCATTCAATGATGGAAGACGATGGTAATGGTGAGGGGGGAGATTCTCCGCGTTTAGCAGCAGATTCGGATTTGTAAATATACTGTTTTTTCTTTCGCCTCAACGCACTTGCACGCAGGTTACAGTATTCTCCTCTACTTTGATTCTCTTGTATATGAACACATAAATACGTATGTTGTCAATGATATGCATGTCTCTCGAGCTTATTTTATCTTTTTTCTTCAGAACCCTGTGACGTGTTATTATCATAATTACTCTTGCTACTTCCCCTTTCTTTTTCCAAGAAAACAAGTAATGTGTTCACCATTGGCAGCCTCTATGTGCGCAGCTACAGCATCAACATCTTCCCCGCACTCTCCATCAGCTTTCAAGTGTGGCAAAAATAGAATTGCTTGAACCAAACCGTCTCCTTTTCCCTCCAACCCTCGCCCAGTGAACTGGCAGATCGAGAGAGGCGGTGAATGCCAGTAATGCTGTTTGTCCAAATTTAAATATCTACAATAGGCACGATTCGACTTGTGATTAAGCAAGGAGACGAGGTGAGGGTAGGAGAGGATAGGGCAGGAGTTCGAATAGGGACGTCGACACATTGGTCTCTGTTTTTCCTGTTTTTGTGTACAAAACGAATATCGGTAGAGGTAGGAGAGCGATAGGGATGAACATCGGCCTTACTAACAGAGGGCTGAGGATGCCCGTTTTGCGATTTTTGCGTTTTTCATGTGATTTGGTGAATGCGTGCGTGCTTTGTTATGGCTGGCAGTTTGGAGAAGACAATTAAAGGGGACAAATAAACGGAGAGTGGAGTGGTGAGGACATGCGCAAGGTTTGTTGTTTTTATTGTGGTAGTGGTGATAGTAGTAGTGGGTAAAAGTCGGTGGGATGGTGTAAAAATATCACCGGAAGAAATCTGCACGGTGTGGACACGCCTCACCCATAAATGGTAGCACGGATCTACAAAGAAGGAAGACTGATGGTGATCACACTTCGCTGAAAGCTTACCCACCTCAAGGTTGGGGGCACGCAAAATTGCCAAATTACCAAGTACGGCTAGTAGAATGGATCACGATTGATCTCGGCGGCCCATCCTTCAGCGTCATCCTCCTCGCCATCAGAAAGGCAGCGATTAAGGGTGTTCGGTGGGGTCGCCTGAAGAGGGGGAGACGATAACACCTCCTTCTCATCGACAGTGAACTTCCTGTTGCAATGACGACGTCGTCTTGCCGTTGTCGGTGGTTCTAATTTCAACGGCTTCTTTTTCTCCTCTACTCTCTGCTTCTCCTCCCTCTCCCTTGCGGTGGCGCGCTTCCGAGCCTTCCTAGTCTTCGTGGAAGCCGGCACATGACGCCACCCACCACCACCCGAGGAGGTGGCACCTGGCTTCGAAGGCGATGAACTCCAACTTTCCTCTGAAAAGGTGCTTCCCCCACCACTTCGTAAGTAGTCCATCTGATTGGGCAGTGAAGCTGCTGCTGCTGCCTTCAAGGAGCCAGCCTCTGCAAAAGCAGAATCGGAGCCTGCAACACTGGTAGCTTCAGTGGCGGTAATTGTCAGCTGCCGGGGCTCTGGTTCGTCCATTGGAAAGGGTAAGGTGGGTGTTGGTGGTGGCGTTGGCTTTCCAGGTATAACCAAGCACTTCTCGGAAGTATCCTTGGTAGTGGGAACTACGCTGAACTCCTCCTCCTCTTCAGGATGCTCCAGAGGAAAGTCACTCTCGCAGAGGAAGAGAGAGTCGCGTTTAGCAGCGAGCAGCTTCGGTGGTACACTGACTACTGGTGAATGCGGTCGCAGGTACGCCAGTGGGGTGGGTGTAATCAGACTGAATTGTGGCTGATGCTGCTGGCTACCCGCTAGAGTCAACTGCTGTTGTACACTTCGGGCCAAGCCAGTGTCATCCTTATATAAACAAAAACACAGTCAACACCACATATCACGGTAACAATTCACTCCACTTCTTTGATTACATTCGCCGGCAGTCAGTTTTCGGCCATCAATACATCAAAATTGCTGCCTCATTTTCAGCCAGCAAGACCGACAATGAATGCAATTCTCTTCACAGAAGTTCCATGACTATTCCTGTCAGCGTGCCAGTAAACACATTCATTCTGCATTGTTTCGCCCTCAATCTAACGGACAAGTGAAGAGACTTCGGTCTCCTATTCGAACGCGCATTATAGAAGTCACGAGAGCAGTGGGAGACTATCGATATTCTACAAGGTTTTTCTACTACAATATCGGACAACTCCAAGTTATTTCGTATAAAACCACCAATCACCAACTAAAGCACTGATTGGACACAAGTTTCGCTGGGTTAACGCAGCCATGGTCCAGAGGCCAATAAACGGACTAAAATGACGTACAGGAAGTCTTAAGGCGATTCAAAACAGACACTGGGCGCCTATAATCACGACTGTCGACCGGGACACAGCCGGTAGATAGCTGGGAAGATTTCACGCAGACATGGGAAAAGTCACATTCGACACCTCAGTCAGACATCGGAATCAATTGCGGCCACAATACACTGAGGAATCATCAGCTCAACATGTTACTCCACCCAGGGATATTCTCTCGGGGCACCTTCTACGTATCGCCTCCAACTACGAACCCTGCTTCACCAAATATCATGGAGAACCAGTTCCAGGTTGGTCCGTCCTGTGTACCAAGACGACGGTCCGGTAAGTGAGGGCGCAGAAAGAAGCAATTGCAAATTCATTCTAGAAATCGCTTTTGCCGACCTTTTCTGCGGCGAACGGTGCTAAGGATGTCTGCAGCCTCAACACCCTCCGCTTCAGTTTGCCAAAAGCTTCCCATTTATAACTAATTTCAGAACATTCTAGGGTGTCGTGCTCCCCTTCATTTCCTCCTGATTGACTCATGTCAAACGGCGATGAGATGCTCCCAATGCACTGATAATCACTCCAAGGACAAGGTCAGTCAGTTAATTTGGGCATGTGAGACTGAAACTACCGAAGGGCAGTGAGGCGGTTCCACTACCTAGTCGCCATGCGCGTGCACATGCCCTGTGTTGTGTGTTCCTTTGCTTGTCTAT